AAAGCTATTCACCTGGCATACTTTTTCACGTATTTGCACAGAGCCTTATCGGAACCGCTGACGTCGGCAGTTGCGTTTGGCCTGGTTAAAACTTCGAACACATAGTTCACTTATCGGGGCAAGGTCGGCGGCAATGAGATAAATGTGTTCCTGCGGGTTGTTATGCCGATGGATGACTATTACGAACAAAGTTTGTTTTATGAAATTAAAAGAAAATCGCGCAATAAACCATAAGGGAAAAATTGGAACGTACCGAATGCAAATCCGACGATGAACGGTTATCGTAAAGCCGGTCAATCGTACAATTTACTGTTTGATGTCGTTTTCCAAATATGTTAAGAGCAAACTTGGAAAAATTTATTATAACATTCCAATTTACATATGTAGCGAATTTGGGATCTGTGGAAATCTGAGCGCGTAATCTCTGACTAGTTTAACCTTTATATTTGATGCAGATAAATAATTTCGTTTAATATGAGACCGACAATAGCTTTCATGTTTGAAATCCAAATACGTGGAGTAATCTGTAGCATCAATCATGGCTGGATATTTGTTCGGCGTGTCGACCAAGCGACATTACTGTTGGCGTGTTTACGAATAATTGTGACGTATAAATAGCTCGGAATGTTCGTAGAAGAGCAACTATGTGTACAGCTAGTGGAATCATAACTTAAATTAATTTGTTTAAATATGCTTTGTCTGTATAGAGAGATTTTTATGCGTTCGTATGCGTATTATCATTAAATTTTTTTAAAATAATAAAACAATTTATTTTAATAACAATATCTTAATAAAACTATTATGGCTTTTAATAAGTCATATTGAATATATGGTATACTATAAATAATACATTCGCATCTGAATAGCTCGTTTTATCGAATAGAGACCACTATACATATATTTTCCACTGACTGCTGATGAATTCGCTATCAATATTCTAGAATATTGCATGCATTATTCAATATTGAATATTATTGAATATTATTACACATATTTTGTAAAAATAATGCGGATTTATTTATTGGATTTCACTAGGCAAACTACACTTCGTTCAATGTCAAATTTTTTTTCATCTCACTATTTATTTGAATTTTTGCACACAATGCTTCTACGCATCTCAAGTTTTATTTTCCGTTCACTTATTTTGAATTGGTATTATGCGGGTTCAAGAGGAGAAATGAAAAAAAAAAGGATATATTACTTGACACACCCTTGACACACTACCCTATTCTTCTGTATCACTTTGCATCCAGTCGTAAGAGGACACAACAGTGTGACGTGACGAGGCATTAATACGATATTTATTCTCGTTTGCACGATGCGTTCACTTTATTATCGTTCCATGCTTTCATATTATGTAAATGTAAGCCAACCTTAATCGTTGCTTTCGCGGTAATCTTTCCTTCGTTTAATGAAGACGGTAAAAGACTGAAATGGCCTTCTTGTTGAATTCCGCCCGTAAACGTAGCGCGCGTCAAGTTCCTTGTTTAATGATGACTAAGTAAAGCAATTAGATATTAATAAACACGTACACGTGAAAGTTTTGACATGTGAAATGTTGTGCCAACACACGTCAAACTTACGGCATAATGAGTTGATATAAACGGGTTAAGGATGTCTCGTGACTGTCGTGGAATTAGTCTCCAAAGGTGGCCTACTTCCGTGTTATCCTCTTGAGAAAATTCATTTACGCGAATCCCAGGTTTTTCCCTGCAGACTCGGCGCGTCGTGCATTTCCAGCTTTAGAAATGAAAGAGCATAATCTGAAAGTCGAAAGTTCTTCTTCATTTTCCGCGGCAACGCAAAAGTTGCAATTGCTCCATCTGCGGCGCTTTAATTAATCGCCCACCGCACTTGAAGTTTAAGGCAGTAATATTGAGTTTAATATACGTGCGCGAAATACGAAATTAATTTCGCGTCGTTAAATCTTACTGCTCGGCGACCCTGAAACTTGCGATATCTTATAATTAAATGTTTAAATCGTACTGGCGTGACTTTTTTCGATTTGAATAATTTATCTTGATGAATAATAATTGTTGTTGATTCCAGATTATTAGCTATTAATTTTTCGATGTACGTTATATTCTTTCAATATCAAGTACTTATTATTAATTCAAAAACTCGCGAGTGATTTAAAGTTTTTACATTGATGGCTATAATTTAATTTGTCGAACTTTTAATTCTCGTGTATATCAGTTATTTGAGCATCTGTCCAGTTACACTATCCGTTTTCTCGGATCTTTCGATATAACTTCGGAAACCGTATCAAACTGTCGGATTATCCAGATATCCGAAGTAGCTATGTACATTGAAGCGCCGAAAATTAATTACTTGCCCACTGTCTTTGTTTGACAAGTACTTTGTGCAAACAACATAAAGCTCCCTGTCGTACTGTAAACTACAATGTGGAATGAGGCAAATCAGTGACGAAGATTAATCGTCAATGGTCGTTTCGGTATTTATCGGTATTCGGTATATTCGATATTGTTAATTATAGCACAGTAAACCTAATATCTTATAGATTAATACAATCAATAAATTTTTGGACTACAAAATTCAAAGTAAAATTTCTATAAGAGCTATAAGAGTATAAAATTTAAATATTCCACAATTTGAAGACATAAGGGTTTAAAAGATTTTAAAGTTTGACACGTGAGAAAATTCTGGCGTTTGAAAAAAATGTATTATTCTCAGACTTCATTCAGAACTGAGAATCTAAGATTTAAGAATTTAAAGTCCGCCGCTCGAGAAATCAAGCATTCTTTGATAGAAAGAAAGCATCTTTTTTCGTTTTATTTTTTATATGAAATGCTTTTACTAATAGAAAGAATGGAGCACGTGCGTACACGTCATGGAATGAAATAAAGTTCTCAAAAAAGATTTGTCGTTCCTTCGTAAGAATCTACAGTAGGATTTTTTTTCTATTTATTTTCCGTCGCTTAATTTTTTCCCTCCGTACGGAGAGAGCTCCGTTATATTATTCAGGATCTTCCATGAACCTTTTTCAGGATTGGGACCTGACAAAGTACAATTTCGGCAGCATAAGATATCGCGCACGAGACCCTGATCGTTCTATTTGTGGGATACTAAATTTTTTACGCATATTCAGAGGAAAATTTCTCGCCGATCCATGTTCAATGTCGGATCGATAAAGTACGTGAGATAGGGAAATATGATAAATTAGTAAACTGCAATTGACCTTTACATCATTGAGTTATCAAAGTTTCTACAGAATTATTGGAATTTACTACTACGAAAATTAAATATGAAAAATAGGACGCGTTTCAGATTCTATTAACATTTTATCGAGGATATTACTCAGTCTTTATCATTGTTTTTTGTATGCTAATAATGCGACAAGCTTTATGACAAAGGACGTGTACTGTCATGAGACTTGATATCTAATTAATTTTATTAATTGTCTAATTAACTTACATTTGAGACCGCATAATCGCAAACTTCTTGTCATGGATCATGTATACAGTTTATTGGAGATAGCAAAAAGTCTATTGTAATTTTGAACGAGATAACTTTCAGCCATGTGATGTAATTGGATACGCTGGAGAAACATGGAACTTCTCCAGTGTCCCGTTGTAACTACATTAAATGTTGCCCTGATACACATAGGTATGTACGTACAATTTTCACTGGTATAAAGTTGCCGAACGCTATTTTGCAAAGATAAGTAGAGAGACAATGGTATGACGCAATTATAAGCACGAGAATTCGACAATGAAACTTTTTAAAACAAAAGCAAATTCTGTTGATTAAAATAGCGTGCCTATTTGGAAATAAATAAATTAAATTGCACACACAACCAATTCTGTAGATATATATAAAATTATATATATATAATATTATATAACTTTATGATTTTTATAAAATAATACTTATACAGACTATTTAGTCTGTATATTATTTATAAATAAAAAAAATATGTATATTATATTTTATTGTTTATTGTATTATTTAAAAATATATAAGTATTTTTCGGCATTAATTATGTCATAATGTATAATTCAACGTTATCATTATTTAAAATAGTTGTTAAATATTATTTTTTGTTTAACACTTATGTCAAACAGGTGTTGAAAAGCTGTGAACATTCTAGACATCAGAATTTCGGTTTCATGAGTGCGATATTATTAGAAACATGTATGGCATGTAGACGAACCGAAATATCTGCAGCATAACTTCATCCAGTAGGAACGCGATGCGCGAGTTCTTCTAAATTAACTCGAAAAATTTTGAAATTAAACATATAACAGATTTTAAAGAATAAAAACTGTATTAATTTGGAAAAATACATATTCTGTTATATTATTTCTGTTTAATTGTTATATCGTGTAATCTAATTGACACAAAAAATAGATGCACGTTTTATGTGAAATAACTATCAGTAAGTATAGTATATTCATTATTTTCTTAACGAAAGCATTGAGAAACACGTGTCTTGACGCGTTGCCAACAACGCGTAACTCAGCATGAGTCGAACGAGAAATCTTTACGATCAAAATACACAGATTTTGTAAATCGCAATTTTAGTTTTCTTTCAGCAGAATAATCCAATTGTTAATATTAATTATTTTGTTTCGCTCATTTGTGTACCGTTCGGAAAAAAAAACACAAATCAGAATGCATAAAGTAGGGCGTACACGAATGGTAACTCCCACGGATAATAAACAATCCTGCAAATCATCCTGTCGCTAATGACCAACATCACTTGCATTAAGTCTGACTCGTAATGTCATTCATTTGAAAGCTGTATAAATCGGAAACAAATCTGCCGAGCTTATTTTCCGTCATCAGTAAAGCGGTTTAATTGCACCTGTAAAAGCCAAGCCAGCCGATCGATTTTTTTCCGTGAGCACACTTACTCGACCAAACGATTGGTCTTGACAAAAGGATGAGATCTTGAGTTCTAAGAAACGCGTCTCGATTAGTTCATTTGATCGAGTCGATTTTAAAGATGTCTTTGAATATCGAAATTAAATTCCGCCCGAAGGTTCGTCTTATCTTAAATAAAGTGGTATGCATTTCAGATAAAAATGCAATTTGCGAAATATTTTTTATTTAAATTCTAAAAAAATTTTGTGAATTAAATGTACAGCATCATTATCTGAATAAAATTTTAATTCAGTATATGAAATTCCGCAATACGAAGAATATTGTTATTTTATATCATGTTTGGAATAAAATTTTCGATTATAAGATTTGTCATATTCTGTCATGTTAATACATGGCCAAATATACAGTTTATATTTATATTCGATTAAAGAGAGAGATGGTAAATTTTGCGTCCGCGCTTTTGCGTCACGGTTCAATTCGTATTTTGCAGTCCCTACGCACATGCTGCCTTGTCATTCCATATAATTTATTTAATATGTGAATTTATTAATTTAAATGTCCTGTGACTGTTCTTGTAAATATTTGTCATATCTAAAAATAGCAACCGATAATTATTAGCTCGATTAATTACGTACGTCTTTCGTTCAGAAAACTATTGGTCAAATATAAAGTTCGCAAAATAATGTTATAATGTTCGAAACGAAAATCCACCGATGCGGAGTTTCATTGTAGCGTGAAATTCATAGTACACTTATTACATTGTAATTCGCGCGATTTGTGGCCGTCACGATCATTTTTCCGTGATAAAAAAACCGCGGCAATTTTTCTTATCGTCTAATGATCTGAGTTCGTCGACACTTTTGGATGATAAATTATGGCGAGTGGTCGTCTACGTTAATGCTTCGTCTTCATTATCCGGATAAAATAACAAGAACTTAGAAAGAAACAGACTTGGGAACGGCATTTCATTTGTACGTCTGTCCTTTTTGGTTGCCTGTTTCCATTCTCGCGATTTTCCTACCATTTTATACTTACTTTTATACTTATTATTGCTAGTGCAAATGAGAACTTTATGTAAAAGTACATTTTACGAAAAAGCATTTAAAAAAAAAATTGAATCGAATCAAAACGATGTGTTGATAATTAATTACTTTTCAATGAAAATTCAGTTCCGCTATGTTTAACAATTATGCAATATCGACGCTCGGTACTCGAGCTGTTTACTGAAATTATTGCAATATACAACGACGTTGAATCGATATCGCGCTTCGATAATAGGATTGAATATTTAACTGAACGATATTGATTTAGGTACCATCAATTGTCGTTTATCTAGCAACGTAATAATGTCGTGTACAAAAGTCGACACTGTCATGCGCAAGGTGCTTTCCATTGCATAGAAGTGCAAACAACGGATGATCCTAGCTAAGTGATTACATTGCATTGCGCCGGCAAGCTCGATAGAATAGAACGGAAAAGTTGTGTTAAGTGACGGATTTTACAACAGTATAATTGTGCTGTACTACACGCAAGACGGATTAGTTGACAATATATGTATATATGTAGGTCAATCAGCGTTGATTGTAATTCCACCAAAATCTGTAACGTTTGTTATGCGAGGAGTAAACTTATATGCTTCTGATTATATTGTAATCACTTCTATAAATATTAATAGAATTATGATATGTTATAAAAATCATTCACTATTATTTTTTTATCTTTATGTTTATTTATGCAAAATGTAAAGAGAACAAAGAAATTTATAATTTTTATTAAAAATATAAATTTTTTATAATTATAATAAATTATATATAATATATAAAAAAATATAGAAAAAAATTATATATTTATCACTGTATATCCTGCGTTTATAGAAAATTACTTATAGAAAACTACTGGGTATAAAATTCGCGAAATTACGTTCTTGGAACGAAAATCGATCGGTGTAGAGTTTCAAATCCGCATAGTACATATATATAATATTTTTTATACATATACTATATAATATTATGAAAAGCTTAAGATATTTTATACTGTGACTATATTGGATGCCATAAATGCAATTAATAGATGCCAAGTAATTACTAAAGTACTAGATGTAATCACTAAATAATTTGGTCATACTTTTTTCTTTTAGGATCAGGATCTACATACAATTTATCTGTAAATAGACCTGTGAGACTTTAATTACCAGATTAGAAGTATTCCAACTTAATCTAAATCTTTTTCTTATTCTGTTACAGTGCCAGATCACATACGACCGCGTGTGCACAGTCTACCGGAAAAGGCGTACAATCCCCGGGCCAGCGACGATTTGTACAGACTTAGAGCGTTCAGCATCACTCACAAGGGTGTCGTCAATCGGGGTGATTCTATTCTTTCCAGACGCAGTAGGAGCAACACCTCCGTCAACAGTAGCAGGTAATTGGCTAGACCGAGACACTCCACGGTGTCAATATATGCCATGAAATAAATTAACGTTAAATTATTGCGTCTACTCTGCTTGCATCTACGCGCTTCTTTCGCGCGGTATCTAAGCTTTATGGAGCTCGGTATTTACATAGCTTGAAATACGCGAACATATAACATACGATAGACGACCACTGAATCCCAAGGTAAGCCCCGTCGGAAGATATTGCTGCAAAATACATTAATGTACGATATATATCGTATATCCTCCACGCGTGAGTACGTGCTACTTCGCAAAAGATAGCATTATTAGAAATACGATTAGAAGATTCACCATATACATTCCATCCATTCGATTCATTCAATGTCTATAATTTATAAGATCTCTGTTTAAATCTTTAATGCCGCATCTAAAACTTTTGAAAAAATCAAACTCAATTAAATGATTACTTTTTCTTTTTGTCTTCCATTATAATGCTACAATATCATATAATACTATATGATATCTAGATTTTGACTCTAACATCTATTTTTATTTTATCCATAGACATGATACAGTTATCTGTTTATCATAAAAAGAAAATTGTCTGAAAATAAATAATTGAAAATTTATGTATACTAGAACAATACAGGCACTTATTATAGTAATTTAATAATTATAAAATCTAAATATTTTAATAAATTTTTTTAATTTTAAATAACCGTCAAAATAACCTTCGTTCTTAATCTATCAAACTATCAGAATAATCGCGATAACCAATCAGCGTCGCGGAAAAGCATCAACAATACTTTCGATACATTCGAGTATCGATCTTTCATGCCTTTTTTAAGAGTGGACTAGAAGAATACAAGCGCGCGCACTTATTATAATAATTTAATAGTTATAAAATCTAAATATTTTAATTAAATTTTTTAAATTTTAAGTAACCGTCAAAATAACTTTCGCTCTCAAACTATCAAACTGTCAGAATAATCGAGATAACCAATCAGCGACGCGGAAAAGTGTCAACAATAAACTTCGAGACTTTCAATACATTCGAGTATCGATCTTTCATGCCTTTTTTAAGAGTGAATAAACTAAATTTACACACAAATATTTTAATAATTGGGATATTATTTTGAAGTTTTAATGATTTAGTTCATACGACAATGTTTTAATGATTCGAAATTGCGTTCTGTAACATAATGTATTCCAATGCTCAATGAATCTTGACAAGATGGACATGCGTATCTATTTAAATTTGTCACGCAAATAATCCTTTGGATATAGAGAAGTCAAATATTGACATCAGAAACTGACTACTTTCGTCTCCACGTCAATATTGATTCTAGGAATTGAGCGAAACGAAGCGTTTCACTTACTTTACTTATCTTGCTTTTCTTTGCACCTAAAAAAGAAATTCGAATAGACATCGGGAAAGAAAGATATAGTTGAGAAAAAAAGGATGGTATCATACATATGATACAAAAAGAAACGCCTGATGAATAAAGGATTAATACCATAATCCCAGATCCCAAGCATAATAAATATTTTTATCGCAAATAAGTATATTTTTTCCCCATCGGAGTTGTTCTTATTTTTCTTTCTCTCTGTGTTCTACCAGTTTGGGGAAACACAAAAGCGAAACGAAAGTGATAGAAGATTCTTGATAAGTTGATATCAGAGAATCTAATTCTGCGATATCTTGTTAGGCCGGTCTAATTTTTTTCTTTTTGCCGAAAGGTAAAGAAAAATCAACAAAGTTTTCACATGTCTTTTAGCACAATCGTAACAGTATATACAAACTGTTCCAAAGTACGTACTCAGTCATTATAACTTTATCTTACTTCTGTAATCAGATTACGAATTTCCGTTATTAGATTCGTATAAAAAGTCAGCCATCAGAATAATATTTAAATGCGATCATGAAAAGTTTCTCTTTATGTCAATTTATTTTTCTGATATGGATTTTATAAGTAGTTTCATAACAAGATATGAATTTACGCGTTTTCGTCGCATATAAATCATTTGCATCGTTATAAGAATTTTAACGAACTTAAGAGATTGACTAGATAAACAGATTGCTACTTCTGCAAATTTTTTATTCGATATAACTTTAATCGTTCCGCTTTAATGCGCGCATATCAATTTACTTCTTATTTCCCGAGTGATGACATTTCTCGTAATATATCTGCAGCAGTCAAATTTTAATGTCTCCTTACTTGGTAAATTAAACGAAATGAATTGCGAATTCGAGAACGAAGTTGCGGGAAAATTTTACGTACGAATTATTTCGTTTTTCACAGTTGGATCATTTTTGTTTGCGATTCGCATCGAGAACGAAATAACTTTCATAAATAAACTGCAGCTGAAAAGGTCACGAGAGCGCGTCTCACGAATTGAAAAAAAAACCTTTCACGTGAAGCGTGATGGCACTGTGATGATACAAATATGTCGCCCGGGAACTTGGAACCATAGAAATCGTAGTTTCTTCTTGACACGCCACAGTCTTAAAATATGTACAGATGTGCAGCTCCAAAGAGGGATTTATCGCGCTAACTTTTCTATATTTCGCGTCTTGTAAAATAAATTTTTTAAGATTAATCTCTTGTTTGATTTTTGTAACATTAGGAAAACAATTGCAAATGTAAAATATGAAAAATCTTTTTTATCAGCAATAAATTAAAATAGTTGATAGTAGTTTCTTTTGATGTTATATAACTTTGTCCTATAAATATTCAATCTTTATTATGATATTTGATACAAATTATATTCGAATGTATAAATAATTTCAGCATAAAATCTTGTCAGAAATTTTTTACACCTGCATAAAAAATATAAGGGTGCGCGGAGTATCATATTGATTATATGAAGTGTTAGCTGATAGACTTGGTTTATTTGATGGATGACAAAGCAAAGCTGCTGAAAGTTACCGCGGAAAAGAGCAGAGTACACTGATTTATACATCTTTCTATTTCGCGATTCAAGGAGGAAGTTTTATATCATTTTATATATGTATTGATGTGCACACGCCCCAACTTGACACTTATTCATCGAATTAGTCGATATCAATTTTGTAAAAACTAGGACAATCTTTTATCGTCAAAAATATTTTTATATATCTCATTTCTAATTATTTTTAAATCAATTATTATTCTAATTAATAACTTTTTATATATTTTTGTTTTTAGAATTATGTTTTTTTATATTAATCGTAAACAATGGTTGTTTGTAATTTTGACTAACAATTCTGGCTAACAATATTGCAAGTGCTTTTTTTAAGCAAAACGACAAGGTTTCATCAATTAATATGCTATAAATATTTGAAAGAAATATAATTCGGAAATAAAATCTGTGCACGAGAGGGCGGATATTTATTGTGGAGAAACATTTCGGCACGTCGATAAGGTTATGAGTGAATTACGATAAAGGTCTTTCGATGGCTTTTATAAGAACAAGGTCAATAGATTTTACATGTTCTGTTTGCAATTATTAAAAATATTTATTCTTTTTTCCGTTCTCTGTTTCTTCTTGAATTGACAGATCCATTTTGCGGTAGAAGCTCGTTGAATACCTGTTGAATATTTCTTGAAAATTGATCGTATCTTTGTTGAATGTTTCTTCAGCGAACCTATCTTGCTTCTATTATATAGCTTAAGCAAGGATTTTGTTATGATGTAATATGATGGATTGTGGTTGCACATTCGAGAACAAGCGATAGATACCTTTGTTAGAGAAATATTCAAAGTTAAGATTAAAATCATTGTGTAAAGTTTTAATTATTTACAGTACGGTAAAACTAAAAGTGTATCATACTATAAATAAAAGATTGTGAGTATCAAATTGCAATATTCATCAAAAGAGAAAAAAAAGAAAACTTCTTCAAATGTATCTTTATTTTTGGGTCTCCCTTGGGTTTTAAAGTTCAAATAAAAATTTATGAAAAAGTTAACTAAAATATGTCAAACTTTGTGAAGACCTATTTTTATGATGGATCCCAAACTCATGAACAGAAAGCAAATTTCGTGCTCCGCAAATGTCATTTTATTTCTGTCAATTGAATATGATCACAAAAAAAAAATGCTCTCTCGTGTCAAATACGCGAGTCATCGATGATTCGCGATCTACTTCTTTCCATTGCACAGAATTTCTATGGATGGACGTTGGAAGGTTGTCTCGATGATAGGTATATGTGACCTGGTTTTGCGAGAATTTCTGTAGGCAATCCATCTCGGTTAAATCAGCGTCGTCTTTTGATCAAGTGCGTTAGAGCAACAGACTTGGATTATATGATTCTCAAAATCTAATTCAAAATATGGGGCAATATATATTTGCAATATATATTTGCAATATATATTTGCAATATATATTTTTTTAATGCTGTTTTCTATAATAATCGATCATTTTCTCTCTTGTGTTTTGCAATATATAAAGTATAAATTGGATAAGTATAATCCGAAAAGATTGTTTGAAAACTATCATTATTCCATATTTTTAGTAACCATTAATATCAGGAGAAAGCATTTGGAATGATGGTCATAAATTCGTGAAATTGCGGTGTCACTAACAAAACATTAATCTACTTTTTGCGCAATAAATATTATATGACTGAAGAGACCTCGCTTTCTATCAATACGTGAGTTTTCAGTATTTCGAATCAATCGCGGAAAACGGAAGTTACTCGCTAGGGCGCGGAAGCGAGCACTTCCTGCGGAACATTTGATCCGTGTTCCGCAGCTGCGAAGCGATCGCTGAGAAAATCCCATATCCTCGCGAGCGTATTTGCTCCGTTTGCGATTCCTGAGCGACAGGATATTGAAACCCCGTTTTACTTACCACCATACTAAGATCCCAATATCACGCGTACGTGCTCTCCCCTTCGTCGGCAGTCAGTTACCTGCCGTGAACTTTGAGGGCGTGTGCCTAAACTTAGCGCGGCTCTAAAACTTTCGCCGTCGCTTATTGCGTGTCCCGCAGAGCGTTAGAAGCGCTATTTAATCTTGGAGGGTGTCACCCCTGTCGACTTACAACTTACCCAGCGACTTTTCTTTATCACACACCTCCAGTCGCTCTTCCACCCTTAATATTCGTCTACTCCGAAATTGTATTTTATTTGGTCTTTTGCTATCGAGCCGCGGTTGCGCATATCATCTCGATTTCGTATCATATGATGGAAAGGTGAGACATTTGAAGGGCAAAAAAAGAAAACAAACAGAGAAAAGGGGCGAAAAAGGTAATATGAGAATCGCGATATTTCAGCAGAGACGAAAATTGCTCGAGATATTTCCTCGTTTGAATTTTTTAAGCATTAGTGATATCGCTGGTTGATGTTGAATGAAACGTTTTATTATATTTTTCGACAGAAATGTCAGAATAGAATTGCCACGCTGTGTTCATATTAGCTGCGTAGTTTAAAGATTTGTAGTACATTGCTTATTTTTTTCAGTAGGTATAATCTGGCGTATAAACAATTTTTTTATTGATATTTAATCTTGTATTTCAATTATTTCTAAATCAGATTAATAAGAAACATATTATATAGATAATATAGATAATTAAAGATTAATTCAAGCTTAAAAATATACGTACTGGAATAAATGAGAAATGAACGATTCAGCGATTTCTGCGATGATTTTAGCTATAATGTATACATAAACATACGTTGACATAAAAAATTATTGACGCCAAAATTTCAATATTTATCGAAAAAAAGAAATTATTTTCATCACATATCTTTATTTCTGGAACAGTTCTCGGATCTTGTAGTCTGAATAAGCTTGGCTTATAACAAAATTAATTAAAATATATCAGACTTTGTAAAAATCTATCTACATTACATTATGCAACTAAAGAGAGGATCAGTAAACGTGTGCCTTACAAATTGGACTGTATCGAGTAATTTTACTTTTATTTTACTTTTAAACCGAGGCCACATACCGAGACGCGACCGAGACAAAGCGATCTGCGTACTCGGAAGATGAACGGTGACGTGGTCAGTCGGGAAAAATCCTCGGATAAAATAGGAAGGAGCAAGTTGCTATTTGGCGCGGCGAACCATGTTGATTGGACGAGGGCCAGAGGCTTCTGAGCGTTCCTTAACTCGCACGTTTTCAATTTCTTCTTCTCCATCCGTCTCTTCTGACTCGTCGTGTTTCTTGCCGTTGCGTCTACACATAGCGCGGCTGCCGTACATGTGGCGGCTCGTTATTTCGGTGAGCAATCCTGACGAGTGGACGCCCTGATGACTCTAATCGATTCTCCCTTCCTTGCTCCGATCATCGCCCCGATCTTCGAGATTGCATTGAAGGACGGCTAGCACGTTGCGAAATTTTATTGTTCATTTGAGTGGTGCTTCCTTCGAAGCTTGCAATTTCGAACGATTTATCATTTCCGGTATGTGAATATTTTTTTTCGTCAGGAAGAACAAGATCAAATGACATTCGTTCGAAAATGAATCTTTGAACAAACGACGAATCAAGTCGAGTCGAATCTTATTATGTTCTTAGCCTCTTCTCACGTGATGTCTTTTTTTATTGGAAGGATTCACATTATTTTAATATTAATCGCTGTACTCGACCGTCTCCTCATACTCCACTGATTGTTGGGATCTGGTGGACGAGGAAGAGACAGATTTAATCGAGGATGACGACTCCACGACCGACTTCGTCTGGACACTCTGTACAGATTTCGACGACGAGACGGCTTTCGTTGCTGACGTTACGTTCATCGATTGCTCGACGAGACTGCTGCTCGAATCGTTCACTGCAAAAATACCGATCGGATTGTGCATACTTCAAAGATCTCCGCGATAAAGCTTGATTGAGTACAGTGTTTGTACATCGCATTTAACAGACTGCAATTAACGCGGTTAGTTAATCTTAATTAAAGCTAATGACTAATCGATATTACGTGAAAACGGATGGAACATAATCTGCCGTGAATTCCAAATAATAATGGGAATTGTTAGAAAACAATATAAATGTAGATTAATTGAGCGTTAATTAAATGGATAACTGACGAATTAATAAATTGGTACGCTATAAATAATTGTAGATAATTGATAAATTATTAAATTATTAATAGTTATCATAAAAAAATAGATTTTTCACAATAGGCATACTCTTATTAGACAGAAAAAAATAAAATTAATGATATTTTTACTATAATATATATTTTCACGCTAATTAAAGCAAACCTTAATACCAAATTATAATTTTTATGTATGAGATTGAAGCTGCATGCTGTCGAATAGAAAAGAAATATGAATCAATAATTAAGCATCTTTAATTCTAATCCATCGAAAACTAAGTGTTTTAAAGGCAAAGTGCGAAAAACAGATAATATTTTAAATTAAAAACGAAATTGCAATGAGTTTATTGAATAAACAATAACTGAGCAAGAATTTCAACAGATTATTTTGAATATTTGATCATTTGATCCATCGAAAGCTTACCTTTGGCAACTTCCATAACGAAGCTTTCGACGCTTTTGGCCGGGCTCACGAGAACAATTGCGCGAAGTACCCGAGATCGAACTCACGAATGGTATGAGAACGTCGGAGCTTCGAGTTATTCTAAACCGGTAGCACGAGAGGCGGAGAGGGAAATTCTATGATCACGTGACAGGAGATGAACAAAACGGGGGAAACATGAAAAACTACGACGCGAAATATTCGTGGAATCCCGGCCGGTGGCATGCAATGTTGAGTCAATGCTCTTGTTTTGTGACGACGTGTCGTGAACGGTCGCCCACAATTTTTCGCTTATCCGTTATACAGTTTTCAGAACCAATATTGTGATATGAAATTCGCTGTCTAAAGCGATAACATGCGATAAGATCGTATAATCGAAGAAAAATAAAATAATACTAACTCTATCGTGTCATAAATTTTTGATCATCGTCATTTTATACAATTAATGTCAAATAATAGCGCTGGCCACGTGATTAATAAAAAATCTATGAGATTTATCAATATAATTTTATCATTTTTATTTATGTATTATATTTTATTTATTAAATATTTATTAAATATTTTCATCGAGCAATTATAAATAGTCTGAATACTTTGAATGCAAATTTCTGTAGCAGCTTTATGTTTTTGGAATATGTATTTCTGCATTTTCATTTCTGCTGCAACACTACAATATAGAATATGTACGTTACTAATAGAATATGAAACAGCTGTCTGTGGCGGCTGCAATCATTCGAAATGTGAGTCATACTTATGTACACGTAGTTTTATTCGTTTCCTTGTACTTTGTTTACACCAAACCGTTCAATCAGATCCACGTTTGTTCAAGCATTTCATAAATGTTTTTCATAAATTCTTTGTTATCTCTAATACAATTTTCCATTTTTAACTAACGAACGCAAAATAAATAAATAAAAGTTTTCTCAGAAAACCTTACAAGCAGTCTTTTAATGAAAATAAATTTTATGAAACAAACGATAAAAAAATATTAAATTTCACAATTTACGAACAGTAACTTGTAATTTGTAATAATACTCTTAGATAAATAAATTCGTGAATTTCTCTGTTAAATTTGAAAATGTAGTACTTGCAATATTTTTATGAGAACAGATAAACATGTTATGATAAGCGTAGCAAGAGTGAGGTTTCACATGTCGTAAAAAAACGTAGATCATAACGTATCATATGCAGCAAATGATGTTGCTATATGTTATGGTCTACGTTTGTTTTTAGTAGACTATTGTCAGAATATGTGATAAGCTTAAAGTTCCTGATTTCGCCAGTTTAATATTACGATTTGGAGCCAACGAACCTCAGTCTATTTTTGTGTAGCCCAGGATTTGCTTGCTCTCTCGCGCAATCGTCAATATCATCCTGCCCTGTTGCTTACAAGAATGCAATTATTATCGTGGGGAAAACATTTTGATTATTTTATAAACAAACAAATAAATAAGAATTATGAACAAATTATGTGTGTATCATAATAGGAATTTCATGAGCGAAATTGAGCAGGTCTTTATGGGAAACTAACATAGGGAACCTTAGCGGGATTAGATTCAATTTCTGCGTGCAATATGAAGAGAATAGAGCTATCTATTTTTCTTCCTTCATAACTTTTTTTAAAAATAAAAATAGTAACTAAAAATTAAAAAAAAAAAAGAATAAAATAAAAAAAAAAGAAAAAAAAATAAAAAAGTATATAAAGTAAAATAAAGTGCAAGTACTCTCTATAAACGCAAATATATTACGTAGAATGTATCATATATTGGATATTGTTGTGAAAATGTCTTTGATAAACAAGCACACATTTGCTGTGACATTGCTTCTCGTGAAAGGAAAACTCGAAGATAAGCATGTTGTTGCATTGAATAATAGCGAAAAGTTATAGTGTCGACAAAATGCAAAGCAGCGCGCTAAACGGCTATTACCGCGACAAATCCGCGGGAATTAAACTGTGCCCGGAGAGTTTGCGAATCTAACGCTTTCGCGTGCGCGTTCTATTCACATGGTGGTGATGGTTACGCTTAAAATTTAACGGCAAACGCAAATGTATAGCGCAACGAGCAATTTTCTTTAAATTATGTATGACTTCAAGACAACGACAAACTGTTCCTTTCCTCCGCATTTTATCGCGCATTTTTATCGCAAAGAAAATATTCGTCGCAAACACAAACACTCTTAAAATTCAAATTCTCAGCAAAAGCTGTTTCATCCATGAAAGTCTTTTTTGCAATAATGATTCATCACAAGTATCGAAAGAGAAGCATTTCTAACGAAACGTTTTTTATTTGTAATGTGTGAAAAAAGGGTGACATTAATGTGATAGATTACAGTGCATGTTTCGCAAGTTTTTTTTGGAAGTTTACTTTACAGAGAACAGTATAATTTTTAATATTATTTCAGAGAGAGAGAATAGTCCTTTTAAAGATTGCTTTTGGAGGTAATTTTTTTTCGGTATGTGTTTATCATTCGTGCAAAATGTGTATTCCATTTTTCAGAGGAATGATTTATAACCGCGGTTCGTATTTTTCGTGCTGCCATTGAAATACCATCATCGTTAAATCAATAGTTGCATCTTATCGCGGAAGACTTCTTTGATAACATTTGCTGAATTAACTATTTCCATCATTGTCTACTTTTAGTAAAAATCATCATGCAAACTTTAATAAACTATGAGATAGTTTTCTGAAATAACAATCCATCTAAAATTCTAAGATTGTCGATTCAATCCCCCTTCCCTCTCGAGAAAGTATGATTCACCACAGCATCGTCGTTTTCGTTGATTTTCTCGATATTTCTCGCATGTGATAGTCATCGATGACTCACATTAGACGGTGAATCTTAGAACATCTAATTTAGAAAATCTGATTTTGTCATGGATTTCATCCAAAACGGTACTACGACGCAAGCGTTGAATTTCGATGTCGGTTTCTTTGGCCAAGAAACGTAATTATTCAAGGCATTGTTATACGAATTTTCTCTCTAAAAAGAATTTGCAGATGACACTACCGTGTGATAAATTACTCGGCTTATCTTGCAATATGTTATTTTAGTATTGAAGGTTGCCTATTTATTTGCGTCGTAAAAAATTTAATTAGTAATTGACAAATTGCCATAAATTGCAAATATAAACTATTGAAATTTTTCTCACGGAAAAGTCAACGTTAAGTTTTTCAAGGAGTCTGCCATAACCATGTTTAAAGTTTCTACGATACATATAGCCGTTAGGTTAAACATCTTAATTTAAATAAATAAATTTGTAATTTTATCCTACATCTCCAGATAATGTCTTAAAAAAATTATATAAATATTTTATCTATAACTTATTCACAGTGTAAGAGAATCGCATGTGTAATTCTGATGTCCACTTTTCGCCTTGTGTTACCTTTCAATTTCTTGGTCCACATGTATCACCATGGTTTCGCTATGAGGAAAGTAACGTCGTTAGCGCGTCTCTCAAAATAGTCATGACTTTGTTAGCGCTCGTTGTAAGCTCAATTTTATTGCATCGATTGGCTTGTTCGTTACGGACGAGATGTAAGCCGAAAGAGAAATATTTTTAACTGAAAAAACGTTAAAAGGCATTTTTATTGTAGTAGCTTTCGCAAAAAACTCTTTCACTGCCCAATCATTTATCATTGATTTCTCTTTTCTGTCGGAATCGTCCATCAATCGTCTCTTTTGTACGAACGTTACGGCACATATTTTTTATATTTATTCTTTAACGAGCTTTACAACTTCGTTAAATAAAGAAACAAATCACAGAGAAACATTTTTTTAGTTTTCCAAATCTGTTTGATTTAAATAGATGAAAAATCAAAATTTTGGAACTTTGATTATTTGAGAATTTAGCTAACAATCGATTTATCATAAAATATCTTTTATAAAATTTAATTCTTTATGATATGATAGATAAACATTGACGCAAATATAGAAGTTATAAATTTTATATAATCGAATAATAAAATTTAAGAAATTCTTTAAGCGAAAATTCTTTGCCTGCTTGATTTTTAAGCTTAATATATCGCATTTTCCGTTCTTGCCGATGCGTTTCTATGTCTCTCTAAATAGACGAGGTAAATATTTGCGTTCGTTTTCTTCTTTTTCTTTTCTCTCTCTCTCTCTCTCCTCTCCCTCTCCCCTTCTTCTACTTTGACATACCCAAGTACACATATGTACATGTTACGTTTTCACACGTGCCAAGCATAATTGCTGCCACAGCAAATTGTTCTTGGCTGAAGTACGCCCAACCAGAAAATTCATAATACGAGTCACGGGTCAAAGTGCATGCAGTGCATGAAGTGTGTGCATTGAGAGCGGGTAACGCTGTTAATTGGAATTATAATTAATCTGCCGCTTCCGGCAGCTTCCAAAGGCCATACTCGTTTTTGGGAGGACGAAAACAGCTCTTCATAATAGGGCGCTAGTTGCTTAAAGGCGCATTGAATGACGAGGGTCTTTTATGTAACATCATTAATTATTTTGCATTAATGATATACAACAGTTCTCTCTCAGGGATTTTCTTTCGTTACGCTTTCCTTTGCCCCTTATATGTAAATGAAAATTGATAGCATTATACAAAGCAGCAATGAGCAAGAATTTATCGTGGCAGTTCGTATTAAGCATAGTGCATCAAAGAAGTTAACTTGCGTAGAGAACGGTCAGTTAATTTGTGATCTAAATGCAGTAAATATTTCCGCTTTATAATGAGATGTTTAAAAGTACGCCTTTTTCTCCATTACGTACGAATAAATGGAAACGTTAAAGTAACGTTCTCTAACATCTTCATCTCAAATTACATGGCGCGTTTCTGCAAATATAACTTATTATTCCTGCTAACCATATGATATACATTTGATCATGATCAATCATCGCAATATATAGTTTTTTAAATAATTTCTTATCAATTGTAAATCACGCATTTTGAACGAAATAGCTCAGAAATTAAAAAAAAAATCTATCATTTTGAAAGGTTTTTGGTGTTACATTTTGCTCAATGCCGTTTCCAAAAAAATTCATAGTTTTCATCCTGTGCAATATTTTCGACACAAGTCATTCGTGACATAAACGTTCAACTCATGCCTGATTTTTGACGCGAAACGACCCGCAACCTTCGCGAATCATAGATTTCGACAACCGCGTGACCCTTTTGGGTCATGAACGTTGGCGATAACCCATTCAGCTCAGGGAACTCTAGTAATAGCCTTTTTAGGTCATACAGCTGTTATGGATCAGCGAGCTTAGCTCGGTGGAATTTAACTATCCCTTTGCAACATAAGGTACATAATCCATTACAAATTACTGGTTGAACAATTTGCTGCAAGGTTTTGTACATTAGCGATCTATGAACGTATTAACGTGTAGTTTATTCTGCGGAAAATAATTGTTGTAAAATTAACAAATAAATAATGAATCGACAAATAAATAATGAATAAGATAGTAATTCTAAACTGAAGTTTAAAATTTGCTTGGCAATATTTGATTTTTAATAGTTCAGTTACATTTCCAAGCCTTTGAGTTTTTTTATGTTACACATCCCATTATGCAAATTATAGTATATTTTATTACCAAAAATAAAATTTGATAATTTAACTTTGCAGAAGCATAAATTACACGATTGAAAGAGATAATTCCTTACATTGAAATTGTGCATATGCTGGAATAGTAATTGATAGAATTTTTAATCTAATTACAATTTTTAATTTAATAATTAATTAATTTTGTGGATGAAGCGAGTGCTTATTTAACGGCGTGTTCATCGCGTTCAATTGAATTTTAAAGACAATTGGCGAATTTTAAGCTGAATTATTTCTACTTTCAACGCTACTCGATAAATCGACGTTTTTGTTTGGTGGCTTTGCTAACGAAAAAATGAATTCTTTTGTTTGATATCGAAGTCAAAGAGACAATTGCCATTGTAACTATCTGTTGTTGCGCATAGCAAAATGGATTCACCGAACTGCAGTACACGTGGAAAATCGCGAGATTTTATTTCTCTCGTGCATGATGAAATCATTACTTCTGATTGTAGCGGGATTAAGAACAAGTATTCACATGTAAACTAGTCGTATTATCAATTATAAATGCAACTTTGTGTCTGTTTCCTATATTCGACTGCGAAAATACTTTATATTAATCAAAATAAATCGTTCAATTTTTGAAAAATGCATGCTCATTAAATGTACCATTTAACATTCTAAACTACTTTTTTTTAAATATAAAATTTTAATACATTGCAGAAAAGTTCTAGGCCTTGCCAAATGATATGATATAAAATTCTAAAGCATAAAAATGAATAAAATGTACATTAATGTTAAAATATTCATTTTATTCATTTTTATGCCTTTCTATATTATATTTGCGCGCAATGTTATGTTCTAGTATATATAAAATTTATCAAATTAAAAATAATCGGTAAAGTAATATTCAATATTATCACTATATTACAATTAAAATTTGATAATACAACATTTTCTCTCATTTGTAACATACATATTCGATAATTATAGTGACAGAATAATGAAACGTGTTAATCTTCCAGGACAAAAATTCGACTTTTTTCCCTAATTCAATTATGCTCTTGTGACGAGAAATTCGGTGATGTTTAATGTACTTTGGCGGTCTTAAAATTTAATTGTAGGAAAGTTTGACGTAGCAGCTGTGACAAATTACGTCAATGCGCTGCGTGACTTGATTTTGCCGAATGCGAGAAGTTCCGTACCATTACTCTTCATGTTATTAGCTATTCATTCATTCCGAAGAATTTCTCCATCAACTCGAGCCGCGATCTTCGTTGACTTCGATGAAAGTGTATTGATGTAAATTCACTGGAAAAAACATCGCTTTTGTGCTTCGCCGGATCAATATTGGACTTTGATTTAACATGAATTTCTAACTCATTAAAATGTATTCGTTTTCTAACTCCGCTTTATAATCGAGCAGCACATTATATACTATTATACTTTAAAGAATGAATAAGAAAGTGAAGAGAATCCAGAATACAAAACTCTTTTAAAATTATTATCGCATAACAATGTTTTATTCTTCTGATTCTGATTTGATATTAAAATTTGCAATGTATTATATTTATTTTGGATAGCCCGCTGCTGCGTTAGGGTGTTAGCTGTGCCTTTAGAAGGAAATGTTGCGAGAACGCTAGGGGGTGTATTGATGTGAAATTACCAGGAAAAAAGATTGCTTTCGTATTTCGCCGAGGTAACGTCCAAAATAAAAGTTTTCTGTTGAACGTCAATCTTTCTATTATTGAAATGGACTATTTTGCAAAAAATAAATCTGCGAGTTATTTCGCGAAGGTGGAATATTATTGTGCGTGAATATCGCAGAGATTAGCAATACAAGATAAATAAAAAATAAGGGATAGAAAGCAATTGCAAAATACGGATTTATGTTATTTTAATTTTAGTTTTTTAACATTAGATCACTATTATACTTTGTCGCAAATTTCAAAACAGGCTTTCGTAGAATTTTGCGCCTTATCCGATCCAATGGAGAGGATCATTAAAGGGAATCATGGAAAGAAGGTATAAGAACGACTTTGAGATATTATGATATATTTGCAATAACATCACTGATGAGAAAAAGGGACATAGGGATTTTGCCTTGTTAGCTTCTAAAAATGTCGTGGATATCTTCCGATTTGTCTGTGCGTAAATCGTGTAATTGGATATCGCCATGAGCAGAAAATACACCAGAAAATTTTCCGTCCTCGCAAATTCTTCGAGATTTGTAATCCTGACGTTATAGCTTAAAATTGTAATCCTTGCTTTGGACAATATACTCTCAGAAAATAGTCTCACGTCTTTATATGTATAATGACATTTGGAGTAATAATTAATAAGTGTTTTATTAAGAGAAAATTAGACTCTAGTTGTGTTGCTCGCGGGGCAATCGTAGTAATTGAATTAGCTGCATTGTTCGCGACCGTTTTGAGCATTGCGCAGAAATATAATAATTCCAAAGGTATGCGTCTATTACAGTAGATATGTACTGCAGCAAGATACAATTTCAGTATACATACAGCAATATTACACAAGTAGAGTGTTCATTAATGTATTTGCGGATACTCAAATCCTTGTAGGATTTTCGCTTTGCTTAAATATAATTTGATAAATATCTGTGTAATAGCTAATATATAATTCTATTTGATTTTATAAAAATATAATTTGAATAAATAATAAATATCCATTTTTTTGGTTGAAAATAACGAAGAAGGTATTTTTGAGGAATCTTAAACAAACGATTTAACGAAGGTCGTTAAGAGGCTACCGTGATGTTTCCTGTTGATAACAAATGAATCCGTTCTATTTCTGTATTTTTACTGCAAACAAGCACATATATACTATACATCGAAAATAATCTTGTCTGGAAAGTTCGATACAACATCGACTTCGTTTTATTTCTGTACCTTCTGATTTTAAATGTAACGATAGCTTTCACGAAGAGCGGAATACGTATGCGTTAATTGAACAAGCAAGCGATTCAATAATAAATCGAGCAATGATTTTCTACGTTTCGTTTACCGGATGAATTTTGCCGTGTAAAGTAATCGTGATTAATGTTAACCGCGTAAAGTACAAAATTCGCGTAACCAACAAATGATACAGATTTATAAAGCATATTGTAACAATTATATACTGGGTTTTCCAATATTCGATGCTTGAAAATTTTGCTTTTATTCAAGTAATTGCCTATCATTACTGCGCGAGCATTATGGTTGACAATCGTAATCCGTGAACTTATCAAAGTTAAGCTGGCTTGTCGGCCATTAGGGCACGTTGAAATCCATCGGTTTGATATTATACACGCGTGAGCAGCTGAAACGCGATAATTATTACAGCGTGCCAAAGCCAGTGGCTCGAAGTTGAGGTATTGTTTGAACAATGACATGGTTATGTGCAATTCATATACATAAATGCATACGCACAGGAGCAACATTGGTAGCTTATTCTGACTGTTTATCGTGCAGCTGGTCAAGTAGATGTTATGCCAAACATATTATATTACGATGCATTATTCGATACGCCAAGGTTTTTCATAGACGCTAAATTATTCCTCGTTTATATTCTTCATATTTGCTAATATGGAAACCGTTCTCTCATTTATAATTTTACGATGTCGGGTATATTGACAGTCGCAGGACGTTCTCATTTATGTTTTAAGTCATAATTACGAAAAAAGAAATGGACAACCATGTTTGTCAGATTATATATAATTGTGGCAGGACTCATGCTTCTCTTCTCTTTTCCGCAATTCAAAATCGCGATCTTTTGTATTATACAATCATGATAATTCTTAACAGATGGATATAATTCACCACATTACAAATCACAATTTGCATTTTCTGCATGCATTCGCGCATGGTGAAACATGTACATAAAACAGTGTACATGAAATATTTTGAAAAAGTTGAAGGAAATGTGATGATAAATTACCATAAATGCAAAATTGTTGTAATTTTAATTATTATTTGATAAGCTTTGGCAAAAAATACTTCCAATTATGTTGTATATTCGCAAAGACTTTTCATCACGACGAATTTACATAAGATGTAAAGAGAAAACAGAATAAAAATACGAAAACATATTTGTATATTCCCGTTATAATACAGAGAAAAGAGAAAAGTAATTTTGTATTAATTTAAATAATGTGACAAAAGCAGAGCATCGTGGAGACAAAGATTTGATATAAGAAAAATAGTAAACTCTATTTTTTTAATGATTGTTTAAAAAAAAAGAGGTTTATGTGACGAAGTTAATAGTATTGCACAGTGCTATTATGAGAAGTTTATCACTTAAAATGGAAAAAAAAATGTTCTGTACTTTCTCCAAACAAACAGATATTAATTAGTAAAGCTAACTTTTCCAATAATTTTTATGTTTCTAGCATTTACAATTATTTTACGTCAATTTTTTGTCATGATTATCGCAATTCTCGATATTTTTTTCTTCTGCTTGCAGAAATAGCAATGTGTCGGGTGAAAGATCGCCATTTGAAGGATCTTGTTGCAGCGGGCAAGGCGCTAGCACCGACAGCGACAATGAGGAAAGCATTTCAAAGTATAGAGTTGTCTTGCTGGGAGACTCCGGAGTGGGAAAGACGGCACTAGTCTCGCAGTTTATGACGAGCGAATACATGAACACGTATGACGCTAGTCTAGGTAAGTCTGTGCACCCTCGCACGACAAACAATGCTATTGACATTCTTTAACAAGACGCGTGGGAACTCAAGATTATTTTGCATTAAAAAGATTCATTATTGTGAACCTAATATAGGATTCCGCATTGCAACATTTGACGTAATTCCGCTCACACTGTGTCTTGGAAAAATAGTTACGCATTGAGATGACGCGATTCGTTTTTTTCGGTAGGCGTTATTTTTTATCAAAATCCTCTGACAATCTGTTTCTATTTCCCCAATCGTTTCTTATTTGCTGAGAAAAATGGCAAGAAATCTGGGACGCTGTATATATTTTTTCAGAGAAAGTTTATTGAAGAGTGTTCATTTTCTCGATAATAATGTTATTTGATAGATTCGCTTGATGTCTATTACTGATTCACATTTATGCACTTTGTACGAAGACTCGTTTGTGCGATAATAGCGTCGATCAAACGCGTCTCTTGCCGTTTAATTAACTTTTTCTGTATTAATTAATTAATTAACTTTTAATTAAAACCTACTCGCTCAAAGACACATGGCGTAACCAATCTCTCGGTCGCGATGGATTTGCGTAACGTCACACCACCGCCCACTTCTCTGAAAAGCAGAAGGTGGTTAATAAAAAGGAACGGAGAAAAATCCATTTTGCTCGTTTTGCATTTTTGCCGGTCGCGTGGCTTTGAAACGTAGGTACACTCTATGAAGAGGGCAATCCTACATTCCCGCGCAATTGCGAGAGGGACACGTTGTAGCGTCCGCTGCAATCGTTTCGAGCACAAGCCGGGGTTATGCAAGCGCGCCATCCTACTTCATCCTTTTTATGTGATAGCGAATATCACACACGTGCAAGAACGCCACGTGCAAGAACAAGTGCCGTACCGTGCGTTGAGTTCATGAGATGCATCCTTTTGCATCCAACTTTCTTTCATACTGCCTTGGCGTGTTATGCAAAGGAACCATGTTACAAAAGCTGCGTCGAATTGTTTGTAAGTTATTTTATATAAATTTTATATATAGATAGATCTGTTATATCCCTAGATAACTAGATAAATCTGTTTATATTCCTTATATGGATTTTAAATCTCTTTATTTCTTTATTTATTTATTCGTCTGTTTGTTTGTTTTTAAAGCAAATCCGTAAAAAGTGGGTTTTCTCTTAATTTAATTTTAACAATTTTTTACAAATTTGCGAAGATTTTTCAATATATTGTTGCTTTGAGATTATTAATTTTGTGCCTTATTTTTATACTTCAATATTTTCAGAAAATTTTTTTCACAATTCATCTTTTAATATTAGATACTTTTGCAGTTAAAATAGAGATTAATGTCAATTTAATTTATTTCAAGATGTTTTTTCTAAGAAAAAATCTCCAAATTCTGTCTAAGAATCTGTCATTAAAATTAATGTCGAGTAGAAGACAATATTTCCAACACATTTCTATTATACAATTCGTTATTGATTTAGCAAGAATTAAATATTTATTTCTAAAGTAAATCTATATAATCTCTTCTGTATTATTTTTTTCGCGTTTTTATATTTATTTCTTATTCTATAATACTTCATATAATCTGTCTCAAATAAATTCAATTTAAAATCATTATAATATATAAGGTCTCAAATAAATTAAATTTATTGCCACCAGGGAGAGAAAAAAGCGGGTGAAACAGCAGGCTTACGCGTAGTTCGCTACAAAGTGAAATTTTTCTCTGTCACAGGAAAATTTGTCACGGCCTGCGGACAAATGATGAACATCGTAATGAAATAATTTTAGTATACAAACAAATGGCGGCATTGTAATATATTGTACAAAGCTTCGCCTTGTTTATATATGTTTCCGTATATCTAACAAAGTGAAAATCGATGTGTCAGACTTTTCTCGTGAAACTGCAATAGCGAGTTTTTCACAGCGTGCTATCATGACATCACAGAACATCAGCCTTTAACATTTATTTATTTTGTAGCGTTCCGTTTTTTATCATTCCACAGTAGTTTTTGATCGATCTGATTTGATTTAAATTCGCGTAAATAAAAAGCGTACGGAATGAAAATTGTCTTTGTTTACAAACGCAAAATAAATTTTTTTACATGGTTTTGTTTTCAAAATATAATATATTAATATCGACAATTGAAAGTCACTCTGTATAGAAATATATTTATAACAAATCTTTAAACACAATTTTGATATATTGTAGTTTTATCTCTGAGAAAAATTTGTAATTTTCTAATATTTATTTATTATAAAATATTAAAAATCTACTTAAAATTATCATACTTTAAAAAGATAATTTTTTTCATGATAAATAATTATATACTGCGTATATAATTAGCGGATGGATTTTAAATTATTCAAGTGTGTGCATGCAAGTCCGGCACATATTAATGCATATAAAATGCAGTTCGATTGATGCAAGGACCTGTTACACACTGGATTATGGAAATATTATAGTATGTTGATCTAAATCCGCGATCGGAAATAATGAATATACATTTGTGAACATACAGTTTGCGGTTTGAGGTCATTAATGGTGTCCAAACTTGCATGCGACAAATTGTAGAGTTTGTGTGGAGTACATTAGCCATACCGAGGTAGCTTGGCCTTTCTCCTTGAAACTCGGCTTGCTTGTTCAAACTTATAATCAGTTCCATCATGTCCTTTGTGATGTACGTTATTTGAATATCTATTAGGTAATTATTTTACGTGACAAAGTTTTATATCGAGTTTAAAGGCACTTACAATCTTATAATATATCAATTTATTAAAACTTGATAGAATGGAAGTGATCTTTGAAATTCTTTCTACTTAAAGCAGAAAAATTTTTGCATTTTATTAAATGCAAATGTTGTAGTCCCTCTTGTTATTCTTATCTTATTATTGCTGATTTATTTGAAATTGATTATTTTATTAAGTTTAATGAAATATTTAAGTAATAACACGTATTGCGTGAAAATCTTGTACCTATTGAAAATTCTAGTATAAAAGGTAAGCTTACATGCATACTATTTCTCGTAAATTTTATAATATTAATAATTTTCTATAATGTTTCTGTTGTACCATAAACATTTTTTTATTTGATTTCTTTTTGAGTGAGATATTAAGATTGAAAAGTTTGTATTTTGTTGAATTTTGTAATGTAATTTGTTCTTACGCTTTTTGTGTGATTAACTTGATGGAACTTGCCATCAGTACGAGCTATACAAAGTTCGATAATTACTGAAGCAACAACGACGTTTTTCATTATTAAACTTGTAATTTTATACGAGAAATTAATGTTCTTCATTAAAGATAAGTACTTAGTGCAGTGAGAAGTAGCGATGGATCTTTGAATACGTTTACCAGTTGTTTTACGGGACAAACGTTTCTAAATATTTATTCCAAAATATTTATTTACAAGTTTGCACATTTATTTGCGATTAAATATTATATGAAATTTACATTATGTAGATTTTACGAAATCTCGAAGCATAGTTTCAATTATTCATCCGAGGAAAATGTGTCCAATTATTGTTCGCAATTAAAAGATATGTCTATTAAACGATTTGAAGTTAATTAAGTAACAATAATTGAATAAAATAATAAAATAGTAAAGACAATATTTGAGTTTCAATACTAATTGCTATTTATTGACTCACGAAGTGTATCTAATTAGCGATATCAAATTAGCTTACCATTAACTCGCGAGTATTTGCATCGCAAAACAATCAAGTATATGTTACCATGCAATGAATAATAATACATTCTTAAATAGGCATTTATATTGGAAATGAATGAAAGTATAATTTTAATCGTATTTAATATGGATGCAGGTCTCAATGGCAATGTTTATATAAATCGTGAATATACAAGAGTTTCAATTATATTCAACAACATTCAGCACAGACCTTCAACTTTATGTTGCAGACGATGAGTTCGGCGAGAAAACGGTTTCCATTTTGTTAGATGGCGAAGAATCGGATATGATCTTTATCGACCATCCGCATGTGGAAATGAGCGTAAGGATTGAATTGTTTTTGGCACATGTATAGACAATAGTCATTAATATCATTAGATTACATATGAATTTATCGTACTATTTTATTATTATTATTATTTATTACTTATTATTGCAATTTCAATTATGCATAAAATATTATGTAGAATTGCATTTCTCTCAATTTAAATTTTTTTTTTTTTTTTTTTTTTGTTAATTTGGATAAACATTGGCTATTAATATATAACATTTTCTTCTGCTTTAATGATTTAAGATGTTTTAGGCATTTCCTTTGTATATGTAAAGCAGAATATTCTCACCGAATCGATATGTTGTTCAACTCGGCTGGTACGCGCAAATCCGTTTACGAATGCAAATGAATGTAGGACGGTAACTAGCGGTTTTTATCATGCAAATGTGTGATGTCGCCCGTGTGAGAAAGTCGATATAAATTTTTCTCAGTGAGAATGATTAATTTCATCGAGTTTGAGTAGTCCACTTTCTTGCTGGTTCTTTGTAGTATTAACAGCGCAATTTAGTTAATTGTTATCTTATACTTTAACAGTATAATGTCAAAGAGAATAAGCGTACAAGCGCTATATTTTTTTTTACTTGTGAACTTTACTTTCATTTGTATTTTTAACCTTTTCATCCTTTTAAGTATAAATTTTTTAGCTGTATTACATATAAAATAATAATATTAATATTATTAAATAATCATTAATAATATAATCATATAATTTTTGTTTTAGAGTTTTATCTCTTTCACTTATCATATATTTTATTCATATTTTTCACGACAACATTATTTCAAGATTATATCTTTAATTCAGCTAAATTAAATAGTGTAGAAAGAAAAAAACGTAACATAAAGAGAGAATATTAATTTTCATAAAGTGAGAGAAAAAAATTGTCACAACAAATTAAATAATTAACATAAAAGTCTTTTAAAAGATGTATCCGGATTTATTTCTTATGAAATAATGCGGTATGAAATAAAAACAAGACTGACTTTTTCGCGGATACGCGAATATTTTCTAAATCCTTTATCGAATTACTGTCGCAAGCCCAAGATCTTTTCGACTTTTCCTTCCACCTGTTTAATTAACTCTCCCCTCGCAGAATTGTCTTGCGGTTCAATTTCCCGAAATTGGCTATCTCTTCCAAAACCATCTTCTGTATTGACAGATCGAGAATAACTCATGTCATGTTTTTTCGATGTTTTTCGAGCCTTTATCTTCGATTCTTGTTTGTTTGCTTGACCTAGCAATCTATTTACTTTTTTCATCAATAAATACATACACTCGATCAACTATGTCCTTCGAATTAATGTGTTTCCAAATATAGAGATATTTTTTATGTCAGTTATCGCGCATTCGGTGAAATCAAAACTGCTGCAATTACGTTGATAAGAGCTATTTTCTGTTCTGTCTGCAGCAGAGTATTTTAATATTATTTACGTTATCACGATAACGTAATTTGTTGCCTTGAGACTAGATTGCAACGAGACTGATTGAAAAAGTGACTAGGATGAAATCAGAGAACGGAATTGAGAAGATGATAATTTAAAATATGCTACAGTTCCCTGAGCCAGATTGCTTCAAGTAATACATGGAAGAAATTGCGGGAAATTTGAGGCAAAGGAAACGCTCGGTAATTGCTTTGGAAAAGCAACTAGTTTCGGTAATTGGTGGACCGTTAAAGTCTCGTATAATTTTAGTAAACATGAAATTAACAAGAAACCTTGACCATTTACGACGCTAAAAGTATACGTGGCAAAAAATGTCTCTCAGAAAGATCCGTTTCTGTTATATTATTCATGAACTGTCGCAAGGATGACATCAAAGGAATATCGTGTTTCTTTTATAAACGTAAATAATCTAGTAGATTGTTGAAATGTTTTTAGGTAGAATAATTGATGTATTTCTGTTGATTATCTCACATTACTGCTGTTTCAGTAAAGTTCGAAAGTTTTATAAGTGCATATTTATAAATTTATATATCAGTATTGAGTAGTAATAAACGCGAATATTATTGCAAAGTATATATATATATTTGCTCGTAAAAATAAGTTTTAAATAAAATCTTTCGTGAACGATATTCGACATCCAGCGCACATTCAATCAATTTCCTTAATCTGAATTATTCTCGGGGGTTTGTTGAGCTACTCACTCTGGGTTCGCTCAGCGTGCGATAATGTGAATTTCGTGTACCAGGCCTTAAGTCGACGAGGATTGTAACTTTAATATCACAGTTGCAAAGTTCGCCAAGTTACTTGTATTTGCGCAACCTGTGGTTTCCCCAAAAGATATACACGATATAAATATTATAAATAGAAATACTTCTGAACAGTCTAAGATGATTTTTCATGGCAGCACAGATGTATTTGCAATGCTATTATACTAATTCTAAATTATAATTAAAGCGTGCGAAAGTTTCAGTTTGCTTTGAAATTCTCCAACATAATTTTATTCGATAAACAGAATTTATCGTCGTTGCTGTAACAACAGCAATACTATTAAAGTTACGCAAATTCCATCACTAAACACTTTGACATCGAGTTCGCCCTTTCGTTTATGAAGTATCGCAACTTGTCGTATTATTTCTCGATTAGGGAGCTTTGTTTTGCCGAAGTTTTAACTCAGTCAGACTTTAGAGCCTTTGTATAATGCACTTTCCCTAGTTTCTTATTTTCATATTGCAAAAAAGTGTTGAAGATAAATATGTTCTTAAAGTTACAAGGCTATTCCGTTTTCTCAATATAATCGCAAATATTTCTTGAATTATTATGTTTTATATTATTTAGATTAATATTTGAATGTATCTTGATAAATAATAGCTAATATTTGAATATAAAAAATTCTGTTTTAAATGAGAAAACCAAACATTCAGAATAAAATGTGTTATTTATTTTATTTTTATAAAACATCATTCATAAAAAAACATCTTCATATTAAAGCATAATTAAAGTATTAATCCATTTAATTTGTTATTTACGTCAGATGCAAAAAAAAAATGTTTAAAAATTCTTCAGGTTGAAAATTCTTTGTCAACGTACGAGCCACATGCCTGCATCGTGGTTTACTCGATCGTTTCACGTACAAGTTTCCAAGTGGCTGAAGAGATACTAAACTACTTGTGGCAAGAACACTATACTCAGGAACATACGGTCATTGTCGTCGGCAACAAGGCCGATCTCGCAAGAAGTCGGACAATTTCGGCAAACGGTAAGCAAACACGTATCCGTATTGTTTCTAAGTATTTTCTCCTATTTTTTAATTTTACTTCTTCGCTGCTATAACATTTTTTTAGTTTAAAAAATTAAATTCAAAAAAAGTAAATAAAAATAAAAAATTTAATCTATAGAAATCAATGACTTTTACACAAAGTACGCGAAGAACTATTTACGATTAAATAATAGTAATAAAGTAAGTCGAAAGTAATCGGGTTTTTCGTCGATCTTGTCAGCACACGTGTCGCGTGATTCTAATTAATTTGAATTGCAATCTGTATGCTGTTAAAGAAGGGAAGCAATTGGCCACATCGCGCGAGTGCAAATTTATCGAGACGTCCAGCGGGCTCAAGCATAACGTGGACGAGCTCTTGGTTGGCGTTCTGAAGCAAATTCGTCTGAGGGAAACCCGTGAAAAGAAGCTACGACGACAGAGTAGCAAAGGTAAATTGCTGTCGAAACTGCACAACAGCAAGACCGTTCTGAGTCTGAATCTCGCCAGAGAAATTCTCAACAAGATGTGTCTGAACGACAGCAAGAGCAAGAGTTGCGAAAACTTACACGTACTGTGAAATATCGCGACGGAGCGGGAAAGGGGCGAAAAGAATGCGCGGCGGATCCTTTTTATGATCGAGAATCGTTTCTCAAGCGGGCAGAGACAGTAAAATCGATCGGGAAAGTAAACGGCTGCGAGGATTGCACGACATTTTCATTTCTTCTCATCTACATGGATATCATGGAGCCGCCGTTAACTCGGCCGAGACCTTTCCTGCGGGGTCGTAACGATTTTACGACTCGCGCACTGATTACGGCATTCCCGGTATAAGCAGCCGTTGTTACTACCTACGTGTTCCATGTTCATCGCTCGTCGCCCTGTTCATACTTTTGTTTCTGCAACGCGTTCGCGCAACAACTCTGACATTATCCGATGCATCTCCGTCGCGACAGTAGAGCGCCACACACAGTTCGTACTGTTTTAAAATATACGCGAAACTTTACTCCGAGCGCCATTAATTTCTTTATAATTCCATTAACCACATTAGCGAACGTTAAAGTGAGATAACGAACGCGAAGAGACACCAGCAAATATATACAGTGTATTTTCTCGTTTTTCTAAACATTGCGCAGAGAAAGTTAAGCCTAACATTATCGAGGCAATGTGTGTGAAATCGAACTGACTACACAAAGTAATATCACATTTTGTAGCAGCAAAATTTCATTTTGTAGGATTAGTTTCTGTTGGGATTTAATTTTTCTTTAGATTGCCTTTTTTTTTATCTAATATTATTTCTTGCGGTAGAACAGCCTAATTTAGTAAATTGTAAATTAAAGTTTAAGCCTCCGTAAAACTTGCTTGATCAATCCCCTGGGAACGTAGCTCGATGGGGAAAAGGCCACAGTTGGATATACCTGATTAAAGGATTAAGACTCCTCTACGGTTCAACGGTTCAATCTTCGCCGTCGTGCACGTTTCTTCGTCGTTTTCTCTTCCCGTACGTGCTCATATAGTTAAAAATCCGCGAGAGATAGGTAAGAATGAATTGAGCACAAAGTTGATACCGATCCTCAATATACGTTATTACAGGAAGGTTTGCAGTGTACGTATATATGCGTGTAAGTGTGTGTGTGTGTGTCTGTGCGTGTGCGTGGGTGTGTCTGCACGCGAGCTTGAAATTAGAATTTAAGATTAACGATCTTAAGCTGAATCTCTTTCGTTCGGACGCGAGATGAATGGTGGCGCAGGTAAATCTGGCGCGCCGTCTGTCTGCAATGCAGCGATTTGATTATTTATTAGATCCTAATGAGTCACATGTGCGCGCGGTCCCACGCGTTACTCCACGGTGAGATTAGCGCTTACCGTGCGGTGTTCCGATAATTACATTTCATGAATAAAGCCGGCTTTGAACGATGCGATCGCTCGCTGACCGAATATTCCAAACTTACTCTCTAAACTCACCTGCAAAACGAGACTGCTGTGTAATAAAACAAAGTTACTCTAGAAGATTAGATCTAATCTATTTTAATTTAGGTAATATAATATAATTGATGGCTGAATTTTCGGACTGATAATTTATCATATCTCAATTTCGTTGTAACGATGTCTCATTCGGTAGATACGAAATAATTGTAGGACATGAGGACATTTACATGAGGATTACAATGATATCTAACTTAAAATATATAATCACCTATGTCAGTATTTTGTATAAAGACGCAAGTATCGAGATGGTTTCTCTGTAGAAAAAAAATTTATTTAATAACTGTTGATGCAACAATGGAGGATATGTCTAAAAAATTAATTTCCATAAAAGTTCGTCAAGTCGAACGTACACATTGAATTCTAATTTGGTGAATATTTGGCAAATGAATGTATCATGTGAAATCGATGTACTAATATTCGTAATTATAACATCGACGATCGCAACTGTTACGCAATTTTCTGATATTTATGCATGTTATTGTTTGTCGAATATTATGGATCGCAAAATAAATGTGGAATAGAGAAATAAAGAATTTTAATAATAGTAAGCGATTTTTATAACGATTACTTTATTCACTGTTCAATTTGATTTTTAACTGGAAAATGTCTCTTATTTGCATTTCAATGTTGATTTGAATTTATATGAGGATTATAATGATATCTAACTCAAAGTATATAATCAATTATGTCAGTATTTTGTAAAAAGACACAAGTATCGAAGACATTTCTATATAAAAAAAAAAATACTCTTGTCCGTCATAATCAATTATGTATGTAAGTGATAAAGAAATAGTTAAATGACTTCATTGTTACTAGTAACATTATGCGATCGCTCGCGATCCGATAAAATGAATTGTTCGATCTATAAATTACACTATATATATTATTCCACTGCACTGGACGCAGGACTCGTCCAATTGCGACGCTGGTCGTCTTCCCACTTTATAAAATGTAATCTATATTGTAATATGCGGCACAGAAATATGTTTCATAAAAAATAAAATAATGCTCGTCAATGGCAATGTGTTTAATGGCGCAAAGTAAAAGTTACGCTTAACACTTTCGCTACATTATCTTCTAATTTACTGCAGTTATCTAAATTTCTCGTCTATATACAAGTGTATATTATAGCTACGGCCCAGATACGAACAGCTAACTGGAGTTAGTTACCTAACTGAAGTTGTAACATTGTTCGTGTAACATCTAAAGTGCTGTTTGTATTTTGTCAATGCACTAACGTTGCTACAGGTATCAGTTAACGTGATAGCCATTACAATCGATTGCTATAATAGAGAATAAAATTGATTGCAATACAAATAATTCGTAAATTATCAGAAAAAAATGTATTTTATTAGTTTTTTTTTCCAATGCATTATTATAAGTTACTCGATCACTTAGTCATTTATTATTAGACGTTGAGTTGCGATTAATCAATTGTCATAATGTTTTTCAGCAGTGAAAGAATTAAGTGTCACTTTGACTTTCAATGAATATATCAGCTGATGTGAATGCATGTTAATGATATTCTATAAAGTATGTACATTTCATCTTTTTTCCTTCCATCTTTATTTGCCTGACATTTTTCTGAATAATTGGTAAATGTTATCTCCATTATTGTAATAAGATGTAAAACAATGGCAAGTTCTTATTGTTGTTAGAATTCCGAAGGAATCGTTCGATATGTGGAGAAAGAGTATAATGTTTAAGACTTTCTTTCATAATTCGTCATTAAGAATTGCTCAGAATATTGTATTTCATGAAATATTCCAACTCGCCAAATTCATCTATTGGATCTCTCTACCTGCATGCAAAAATATGCAAAAATATGAATTTACAGGTTTAGAATATTTCACTTGCAGAGCGATATAAATATTGCGGCGTCGCTTTTTTTTTCTTCCTCTCAAAATAATCATATATCTAAGATATTTTTATCGTTTGCCACACGCTTGTTGTCGGAAAACAATGCGTTCAAGTAGACGCGGCCTAAAATCATATAAACTTGGAGACCGATGTGTCTCTCTGATGAGCACATACCTAAATATACGTATATATCTACGAACGTCACGATTATCATCAGCGCAAATATTACTTAGAGATAAGCGTAATCTATAACTTATATCTATATCTGCGTCGCGATAATGCGATCGAAGAGTTATATTGTGAAACGATTATACATATCGGTCCAACCGGTTATTCTAATGATTCTATCAAAAACCTTTTCAAATTCGGTATATATTCGGATGTAATTACAATCCGATGTATGTGCGAGTGTTGTGACAAAATGAAAACGCATGATTTCTGCTCCGGACTTAAATGTTCTATTGCGTGTCTTTCTTTTTGTGAATTATAATCATCCTATCATAAGCGATCAGCATAAGGTAATCAAATATACATATGTACGAGTTTCTACATGGAGAACGGATAGTTATCGATTTGTATAGATGATGTATAGAAGTTGTTTCAAGTAATTTTTTACATTATTTCATATCAACAACAGAAAATTTTTAACTAAAACTTTCAAATCTTTTTTCTGCTTTAGAGTGCATTTTTATCATTTCACTTATCGACGTAAAATTATTTTGCAAAAAATTTTAATTCATTTCCAATATGCAAAATTTGTTCCATGCAGTTTAATTCAAACTTTTATTTACTTAACTTTAGATTCATAGTAGTTTTTGAGAATCTATTAATCTTGCAAATGGAAAACTATCTGTATAGCACAGTACGGTATTGTATACTGAAAGAGGAAAACTCAGTTGAAGTGATTTATACGCTGACATAAAAGCGAAGGTCGATTTTCCAATTTCCGGTTGAATTTGAAACAGTGCAATCTTGCAAAATAGTAACCTTTTTCGAAGAGCCCTGTGAGAATAATAAATCAATACAAGTTCGTAATATCATAACTCGTATCATTTGTCGCTTTACGAAACTACAATTAACGTATCACTTGTCACTTTACGAAACTAATAAGCATACCTCACCGTCACGGATATCTTGATTAAATATCCTGGTCTATTTTTATAAATATATATATATATATATGCTCGTTCTCCATATTTGTTATAATCTATCACATCCATGGTGCCGCTATTTTTACTCTATAAAAATATTTCTATTAAGAATATATATTTATATTTCGAATACGTGCACGGGGGAATTATATTTTTGTAAGTAGTTGATGAATACGAATATCATCGTTTTTTAACTTTTGGAAACACGAATTGTATGACGTGTAATTTACAGAGCATTTTCAACAAATGTCAAGGTTTTATAATTATTTAGATGCATTTTATTCTCTTGTTAAAAAAGGCAAGAATGATTATTTTAAACGAATATTTTTAAATTATAGCAACAAGTATACAATTCCACAAGTTTGTGGGAACTATATTTTATTATTTGTTCTTGCATATTATTTTCCTATTGCAGTTATTTTAATTGATTTAGGAAATATTTATAAAATTTAATGTACTATGGAGTTCTTTTATAAACCCCTGCGTATCCTTATGACAATCAAATTTTTTTTTTATTGTTCGCACTATACTATGTATATGTAACTAAATCTAAATGTTTATGTGAAATTAAAGATAATATGTGAGATAATACAGCTGCTTTCTTAAAGCTCTTAATCTAAATCCTGGTGTATCTTTTATATTTATATATATATACATATGTATATTTATATTATCGTTTTTTATTAAATTTTAATCTTTTAAGAAACAGAATATTAATTTTAAAAAATTTTTATAATTAAGAACAAATTAAAAATATCCAAATAAAAATGCTCTATAAAAGACGCGATAAAGCGTCCATGGCTGAGAGCAATAACCCACTTTAACGCGATCGTCAGACGTCCTCGATAGTGAATGAATTAATGTCTATAAAAAATAGTTTTTTTAACAATATATTTTAAAATATTTTGAGAATTAGTAGTTTTTATGTAATATTTCTTAAAATTAATAAAAAATAATTCTATTTTCCAACATGCACGTGTAAATCATTTCTTAATACTGCCCTCTGCTAGATATTGATCCACGGCTTCAATATTGCCTGATAGAAGCCTGTCACAAAGCCGGTAAAACAGGATGGTTTCTGTCAAAATGGCCGAGTATTCGTGGACGGTTAAATTCTGATCGGTGTTAGAAATTACCCAGGTGTGTGAATTAATCATTTGCAGTGCGCAACTAACGCGTGAGCTCATTTTGCTAAAAGCATGTTGTCAACTGGCAAACGCAGTTTATCAAAAGAGGACATCAAAGTCGCGGATAAAGATGAAAAAGTGAGTAGATTCGTCGTCTTCGTTTCAGCATAGAAAACACAATACGTTCTGAAAGTGACGTCACACTTAGCGGGAAGTTTGACATATATTTACATCGTTACTTTGCAGGAATCATTATTGGAGCACGACAGCGATCTTGATGAAGAAATGTTATTTACGTAAGAAAAACTCACTTGTAATCAATTACAGAAATTCCTATAAAGATGTTGCAAGAGCATTTTTGTGAAAAACTACAAAAACATTTGCTGGGTCAGATTCATTAAAATTTTAAACTGGTTGATATTTAATATGAACCACTATTTTAATTTTTATATAAACTATTTTGTTTTTTCAATTTTAATATAAGCTAATATCAATCTTGTCATTACATGTGTACGTTTCTTTATTAAAACATATCTGACAAATTTAACTCTTGTCACATTTTTCTGGAAATTGATTTAATTAACTCTGATGCGCTAATATGTGATGTATCATTGCAGTCAGCCAAGTACATCAAATGAAGACACAAAAGTCGATCATAAAATGGACAGGTAATATATTTTTTGTAATTTTATTTGGATACGCGGAGAAAATTTTATATCAAAAATTGTTACGTACGGCAGTAGCCGCGGACCAAAAATTTGTACTATGTTTCACACGTGAAAAACATAGTAAAAATTTTTATAGTATCGTATCGAAGAAAACACGTATCTTAAAGTGCTATTCGAATTAGAGGAGTTGTCAGTGCAAAATTAATTGACAATGTATTTGTATTTATAGTGTCAAGCTACAGATTCAAGAAGTAACGGATGTGATGCGAGATAATGTACAAAAGGTGATGGATCGCGGTGAAAGATTAGAGGATTTACAAGAGACGAGTGATCGTCTGAGCATGGCTGGAAACGAATTCAGAGAAGCCGCCAGGAAAGCGCAACGAAGAGCCTGGCTGCAGAACGTGAAATCGAGGATAATAATTGTCAGCATTACCGTGACGATCGTGCTTTTCATTGTCGGTAGGGTCTCTAATATAGTCGACAATACCACAATAACTATTAATAGCATGATAATAAGCATAACATGTTTTACATGCATACATAATATCTTACATTTCATCTTCTCTGACTTTTTTTTTGATACTTTTATGACTTTTCTGTCGCACCATTTGCATATGTTTTGCTGATTTAAGTCTGAAATTTTTTCCTTTCATACCTCTCAGTAAAAACATAATATGCTGCATTAAATAAGCACTAAAATTTATTTTTTGTCTCTTTAGACGTGAATGAATTAAGAATATGTATTATAAGTTATACACTCGTAGATATTGTGTAACTAAATTTGAAATTCAACCTTACATAATATAAATTGTTATTATGACACATTTATTCTGTTCTATCGATTTAATTTAATTCTAATCTATACAATTTAATTTTTCGTAAATTTTATACAGACGTATGAGACTTTCATCTATTTACTTTTGAATATACATATGATGGCGATATTTAAAGTTTCGATTTCCAATGTTATTACGAATGTTAATGGAATGTTAATTAGAAGTCAGTCAAGTTTTGAAATATTACCTGGTTAGATTAGCGCGTGTCATTTGCAGTTTTGGACATCATGGTGCTTTACCTGGTTCTCAGATAGCTAGCACAATGTCTCGAGCCTCGATTGTTAAGGTACATGGACTTACACATCTTGAATTCTGCATAATAACATTCCTATTTAAAAGTCTTAATTGTCATGCATTTGAGAATCATTTAACGTTTTTGTTGCGTTGCAAATTTGTGTGTAATTTGCAATTCTATTTTGCGCGCATTTATTAGAATTTTGCATGTGACCATTCCACTTTATCTCTTGCGTCGTACGCCACACTCTCATTACATAATCAATGTCATAAATCAGTTATATAAAAAATATCATTTTCTTTTTTGTTTTTTTTTTCAGTATCCATCGTCGTGAAGTACACCTGAATATGAATGTGTGACTGAGGGACCGCCAATCTATTGTTACGATTTACCTACACACTGTACATTATTATCTTCTTCCTGCGAATCAATATTATATGTATTATAAGTATTATATAAGTTATAAATCTGTACAAATATATATCTTCTATTATTTTTGTGTAAATGTTGTTGTTTCTATATATGATAAACACTTTTTCACGAGAAAAACATTTACAATGTTTTCGAAACAAACATTCCTTTATAGCGCGACGTATGATTTTATAATAACAAAAAAACCAACAAATAAAAGACTATAAGAAGCAAGCGCAGATGTCAGAGGACAATAAAGATATTACGAATCTAAACTTATTGTTAGATTAATACTATAAAAACGTTTCAGCTCAATTTTCGATTCGATGCTCTTTTCAGTTCAATGAGATTTAACTCATAATTGTGATCACGCACAAACAACAAATGTGACAGTTTATCAATTACATTCTATTAGATGAAAGAGAGTTTAAAATTGGGTTAAAACAGTTGGGTTTACTAGTATTAAACTATGGATTTGTAATATTTCTTGCGCCCTGATGCTCGCGCTTGATTTTTACAGCCTTTTTTGTTGAATCTCAAATAATTTTATGCATGTTTTTTAACGCTATAGCAAATTCATTTTTTCTAGCAGTGTCGACACAATAAGAATTGTAAAATAATGTGCGTGTTTGTATCTTTATGATACTTCCATACTTTATTCGCAGAAAACGAATATATTCGGTAATCAATATAATTCGTGAAATTTTTTTAATAATAAAATGTTAAACAATCGCACGAACTTTATTTTTGCTACTTGATATTCCACGTCTGTAGTAAACAAATATAATTTATTCTACATTGGCAAGACCTGTCGAGACGCGCGGTAAATCTTATCAAATTTTTATAATTTTTTCTTAATACGTTTTGAATGTAAATGTAGACTTACATCACGTAATTAAAAAATCGCTTTATAATGAATTACAACTTAATGCGTGATAACATATTAGGGGGAATTTAGTGATTAAACTTATTTGCGTATGTCTGTTACTTATTCTTTATCTATTATAGTAAAATGTTATGACATGTTGTTTGGATTTATCTAAGTTTCTAATGTATTGCAAAATCATTGCTATTTAATTATGCTTTGTTTTTACGCTTACAATAAATAGATATTAATAAAAGTTTATGTGTGTAAGCATAAAAACTTTTAAGCATTAATTTTTACTTTATTTTGAGTAAAACATCGGAAAAGTCAATATTAATCAAACAATCTAAAGATTAGTATTAATTTATCTATAAAAAAATAAACCTACATTTGATTTTATATAGTCTTTAAATAAGATTAGTAAGTAAATTTTCTATATGCTTAAAATGTTTATTTAATGTCAATTAAATGCAGTGAAAATTTCCAAAGTATCTCAGGAGGAAGTTAGACATAAAAATACTTTATTGGTCAATGCGAATCATTAAAAGCTTGCAATTTCGCAATGGAAAGCGATCATGTTATAGAGCAATATTATACGTGACAAGTATTAAGTATATAGTGCGGTGACCTATAAATTACGATGAGTATGCGAGATGATCCGTTGTCTACTCAAAATTAATCGATTTGCCCAACGTTGTCTGCGCCAATGATTTGCAGTGATAGGCATTTTTGGCATCGGCGTATTAGTATGCGTTTTAATTCGTCATTTCCTTTACTAATTATCAGACATTATTCAGCAATTTAAATACAAACAATTCTTAATATTTTTCTTCTTAATATTTTTTATTATCTTGTCAATTATTCTTATCGTATGTAAACATATTCTTCAAATGTTCGTTTTATATTATATATAATAATGTCAAAGTTAATGTGTTGAAAGCAATATCTTATCATTTTTTTCACACAATTATATTAATTACCGTGTTTATGTAAATATAAAAATTGTATTTTTTTATTTAAATTAAATTACGAAGTAAATACAGTTAAATTCGTAATTTTGCATTGTCTCTTGCAAAATTTTTACAGTGTACAATAATTTCTTTTGCATAGCAAATTATTCGTTAGATCAAAATAATTCAAACTGTATTTAATATATCACTGTTAAAAAATTGCATCGCGTTGTAATCTGCTGCTTTTTCGCAGCACCCGCCTTCAGAAGCTCGACTTTCGCGAAACCAATTGCGCATGTGTAATGTATCGTAGCGTGCTCTATCAGTTTCATTACTTCCACCGCTTCGGGATAGCTTCATAGGAGAGCTAGTGGCTCCCGATGACTCCTCACGCTGTACGGGTCTGTCCGTATGACGAACGTGGGGAGACACGTACAGTGCCAATATATGTGAAGTCGCATTCGAGTGCCGTTTTAGTCGCAACACAACGTCTGCATTTATCAGTTCTCGGACTTGCAAGTAGCAGCCGATTCTTTTGCGACATTTTCGTAACCGGCGTTTGTGTATTAACGCAGTGGTTCGCTGGTGCCATTTATAGGTCGCATTAATTCCCGAGTTGCAAGACGAGGCAATATCACGAAAAATGATAACGATTGAATTCCAACTCGTTATCACTGTTCTGAGCCTACTGCTCGGAGGTTTCCTCCTTACCGGAGGTCGCCGAAAAATTCTTTTCGTGGTCTGGAAAACGCTGCCCAGAGATATTCTGTGAGTATGAATGAACGTGAAAACATGTGGGTGGAAGATCGGTACAAATGCCCAATTTGCCTATTCTGTAATATTTTAATATCGCTACGTGTCGCACATATAAAGTATCATACGATGATTGTGTAAGAATACACAATGAGAGGAAAATAGCAATAAATTGTCATAAAAAACATATTATTTAATACACTATTACCAATGATCAAGTGCAAATGCTCGCCAAAACTGAGTATAAATATATCCATTGTTAATATCCCATCAACTTAAGTTGTCTAAAATAAAAAATACATAGAAGGACACTTAAAAATGAGTTCATCTATTTGAAATCTAGATAAAAAAGCGGCGTTGTCTTATTTTTTTGTAAACAATTATAATCAAGCTTAAAGAAAATAAAAAATGATAATTATTTCCCATTTTATTTGATTATATCATCAATTATTATTAAGATAATGCATATCATCATAAGAGAATTATTACTCCAAGATGTTTATTACACTGTTAATCATGATATTGATTAATAAAATTGGAAAAAAATTTCTTAAGTTTAATATGTTCTACATATTTATATAAATGTATTTATATACATTTATATTTATTTATTAATAAATGCAAATTAAATTTTTCCATTATAGCTGCAAATTATGTTTAATTGATAACGGAAGAAATATTAGCAGATAATTTGCGTATATATGTGCTATATCATCGTGTACAACTATATTGTACATAAACATCTTATATCAATGGACTTTTAGACTTAAAGATGTTAAGTTATAGATTAATAATTTGCGTTCATTGCCCGAGAAACATGATTACTCATTGCATCCGCTTTAATGCTTTGTTTGATGCTGGAATGCGCGTGAAAGAATGGGGGAGAATTCGCAAGAATACTCCCGATATATTCCTCCAAGGATACTCTTGGTATACTTTTCCAAGGATACTCTCGGTATTTTCCTTTTTTCTTATTCACTGTCATTTCCTACACGATCTTAAAAGGAATATCTTGTCATTATAAACTAATTCAAATTATTAATTATTACAAATGTTGAATTAGTTACTGGTATCTTATGTGTACCGATGTAAAAATAAAAATTTAAATCACTTATTAAAGTATTTATAATTATTTAAATATTATCTAAGTCTTCTGAACTTTATTCAGTTTTGCAATATTTTGTCATATTGTTAAAAATAGTAAGTTTCTAATCATACAAAGCCAAAAAAATTTAAAAAACAAATGCTTTGAAAGATTAACAATATTTTTTACTTTGTCATTAATATTAACTCGGAATTTTGCATGTAACTTGATATAGTAATCATTGGCATCGATTTTGTTATAGGTGCAAAATCGCTAAATGATTGAAATATCATATTATCATTGCACTCTCTACGCAATTTATCTATGTACTAGACACATACACAAACGTACGCTACATGCGTGCTATTTATTCTTTTAATTACAAAGAAATGTATATATATTATAACTCTATCTAAAAAGACACTTTAAATATTTTCTAAAAAATACAAAAGTGATAAAAAAAAAATACCTGCACTAACCTTCTTAAAATATGAACTGGCAAAGTATGCAACTTTCGCAATGACAATTGCTTGATAACACGAAATAACACACAACGCGTATCGTAATCAATCGGCGTCGCGGAAAAGTGGCAATGAATGTGAGTGTCGACTTTACATGCCTTTTTTAAGATAAGATGTATGCGAGCAACAAGTATTACTAGTAAATAAGAATATCAAGAAAAGAGATTCAAAGATATTACAAAATTAAGAGACGTATTAATAAAATATAAGTTATAGAAACAGCAAAATAAAATTTAGTATCTCTTACATTGTTTTATACATATTTTGGCATCATTTTACAATTATGATTCGCGCAAAAATAAGCGCACGGCATTCCCATACATCAACATTGAGTGTATAATTAGATTACTAACTTCAAATTATATTTTCTGTACGCTGTTATAACAGAACAACAATAATGTTTCCAATAGATAAAATAACAAAATAATCAAATTAAATATATATATATTTTACGTAAAGATTAATGTTCTGACAGTAAAGAATGTAGTCTTATCATTATTTTCTTTGTCTTATTTTAGACTTTAAAACTTATTATTAGACTTTAAACGTTCGCATTAATAATATTGTATTACTCATGTCGTACTTATGTAAAAAAAAATTCTTTGTTCAAGTTTTATTTAAAGTGTAAGCCATAAAAAAACATAAAGAATTTTATACTTAGAAAGATGTTAGTTTGTTTTATTTTGCAATTAATTTTATTAATTTTCTAAAGTGTAACATAAATTTACGATTTAAAATAAATTTTTTAATTTATAGTTCTTAATTAGCAGTTATTAGCACTGATTTTATTGTAGCCGCAAAACTTAATTGAAATGCCACATAACTATTGTATTCTCTGCGTTTTATATATGTACGTAAGCAACAAATATCACGAGTTAATAAGAAAAAAAATGTTTCAATAATATTTATGACGTTTACGTGTGATACAATAATTACCGTATACTCTCCATTAGATTGAAGAGAGTCCAAAATTGGCTCGAAAACGTTTCTGTAATATTTTTTTCTATTTATATTGTAATATCTTTTGCGCTCCAACACTCGCGCTTAGTTTTTATAGCCATTTTTCCGCTGGCTTTTCTTGTTATTATGGAATTATACATCACACTATTGTGCAATAATTTTGCACAAATCAGAAAATAAATCAATAAAATAAAAATTGTAGAAACAACAAAAGAAAATTTAGTGTCTCGAACATTTCTATCTTATCATTATTTTTAAATCATCTTTTGTATGCATAAGCGCATGATATTTCAATAGAAATTACTGTCGTCAATCTAAAATCAACAATTTCACCGTGATTTTCTGTAACGGCTATGAAATGTTTACAAGTTATATTTTTTATAATCAAATATTATAATTACTAGTTAACCTACTTTCTAATTCACGACATGCGGAACAATTTCGAATTGCTTTAGTTTCAATCATACATATTATATGCATTGCGTCACTAGTGTGAAGTATATGTCAACTAGTCCAAAGATCGGGTTACGAAAGTTACGCACGCACACGGTTACGCATCGCATTCATTGCAATAAAAATTCATAAAGCATTTAATGCTTTCTTAATGATAAAAATTGCAAATTTAATTACGAGAATTAACGAGGAATAATAATGCATAAATATAGATTGGCGTAATATTTATATTATAAGATTCGCTATATATAATTCATTTAACTAAAAGCATAAAAATCAACATGCAAAATTCAAACTTAATATACAGAGTGTCCCAGACTTACCGTATCATCCGTTAATGGCAGATTCCTGAGGTCATTTGGAAACGAAAATCTTAATATCAAAATGTCGAGGCTACTATAGTATTTGAATGGGAAAAACTTAAAGTTTACTAATCAGCTTGTCAGAATTTCGCGCGCTCAGAAACATCGCATTTCGAAAGGACCCTTGCACAACACTTTATGTAGCAAATCATACTTCGTACCGATAGTATTGATTTTCTCTCATGACATGAAACGTCATTTGTCAATGGCACGACTGCTTTGACAGTTCGACGCGCATCGTGTTTTAATACAATTTAGAATTTATTATCGTTAGTAAATTCGTCAGTATTGCGAACAATGTAAATAAAGTAAATAAAGTGAATAAGAGCTGAGTGAAGTACATAAAACGTATTGAATAAAGTGTTGTGCAAGCAAGGATTCTTTCAAGATGCGATGTCCCTGAGCGCGCGAAATTTCTGACAAGCTGATTGATAAACTTTAAGCCTTTCCCATTCAAATACTATAGTAACCTCAACATTTTGGTATTAAGATTTTCGTCTCCTAATAACCTCAGGAATCTGCCATTAACGGATGATACAGTAAGTCTGGGACACCCTGTATATAATTACGTCAGTTATTCCGATAGCAACTGTTACACAGTTCATATTTTTTAATACGCAAATACCATATTGCATTATTCAATATACAAACTTGCCTTTCAATTTCATGTCTTATGAACATCGCGATATTATATTTTAGTTATATATACTATATTTATATGAAAACTATTATGTACTAAATCAAATAGAAAATTAATTATTCTATAATATTGTATGTATATTATGTATGTTTTTTGCAAATTTCTATAAAAACACTAAAAATATTTTGTTAAAATTTATTATTTCTTTAAAGCAATTTGCCATGTTGTATCATATTATTGCTTAATGTGTGTTAGCGTTCTATAATTATGTATATCTGGCTTTGAGATAAGGACTAATAAATAAGAGCGTTTCAAAATAATTATCTCTATTTCAACTGTAAAGTTCAACTATAAGTTTTACGTAATTTTACTGTAAATTTTAGTTAGTGTCGCTAATAATTTCTCGAGCAGATAATTATCCACAATTGTTTTCTAAACTGCGTTAATAAATGCGTTCTCAATATCAATAACATTTTGATGCAAACAGCAAATTTTACTCTGCAATATTATAGCATATTTATTATTGTTTGTAATTAGAGTACAAATCTACAACATAATTGAAGTGAAAATGGATACATGATTTAAATTATCTTAAGTAAAAATTTTTATATTTTAATAAAACATTCGTAATTTTCAATGTCAATGGGGCACAATTTAAGTTGAAGTCATATCATACAATTAAAACCTTAATGTCTTTATTAGCAGCACTTATTTAGCGTTTTATTTTGCGTTTTAAAATTGATTATAAAACACATAGTTACAAAAAACGATTAAATTATAAGAAACGATTCTATTTAAATATACAAAATGCCTACAAACTTGCACAAATCACGACAGTAAAATCACATGTTTAATATTATAGCAGGTGTTAGATAAGTAATAATAGAGCAAGTACGTTTACGTAACATATAACATGTGCGTGTCGTATGGCGATATTAACCAATTGTGAGAGAAAAAAACCAATGCGTGAGGGGACAAAGTGAAGGGTGTATTATCAATTTAGAAAACATATGATATTATTTTTTTACTATTCGAAATCTTTTTCTGCATTTTTATTTTATAGCAGAAAAATGTAATATCAAAAATAAATATAATTTATCAAAAACATTTAACTCTCTTAGCTGATCTATATATATATATAGATTAAATTAATTACATGAATCATTTAATTGATCCCTGAATTCGTTTGTTCAATAGGGGTGCTTATCGGTTTTTTCGACTTAGAATACTTCTTTGGTGGTGGGAGAAACGTGAATATACCGTTGCAAAGATTTTTTCAAACTATGCAGCAACTCATCCGCAAAAAATTGCTTACATTTTTGAGGATAAAGAATGGACATACGAACAGGTGAGTATCTGATGTGCAAGTCATTTGTATTCATATTTGCATACTTACATACATGCATTGCGCATTTAGCACTTGCATGAATGATTGTCAAGGCAAGTCATAGATATAATTAATTGATGGCAATGATTACGGCCGTAATATATGTAAGTCCAAATTTTTTATGTAATAGCTTCCTTAATACCAATAATTTCTATAAAAAGAAGTTGCTGATGATATAACAAACAAGATGTTTCATAACTTAATAAATTAAAATCAAGTTTTTAGAAATATAAATATTCATCAGCAAGTTTGTTACGTAGCGACATATTATATAAAAAAATAATATAGATAAATGCTATCAATTTTACTATTTATATTATTTGTCAATAAAAATCTACGTTAATATTTCTTGAAATATTATCCACGTATAATAATTATATTTATATCTATCGCATATAGTTGGAACACTTCAGCAATCGTCTGGGACGTTACTTTCGCACTAAATCGTATTCTCACTCGGATAGCATGGCTATACTGATGGAGAATTGTCCTGAATATGTCGGTACTTGGTTGGGTCTGAGCAAAGCCGGTTTTGTAGGAGCATTGATCAATACGAATCTCCGTCATGATGTGCTTTTACATAGCATCAACGCTGCTAATTGCAAAGCTATCATTTTCGGATCGGAATTTAAAGATGGTAAGATTATTTTGATTTGCTTATTGTACTAGATATCCGTGACGTAACAGCAAACAAAAAAAACGTTTTAATATAATATTTATATGTAAGCATGGAACAAATCCGTTCATTATTAATGGTTTCACATTTCCTGTATGAAACATACATGGAAATAAAGTGGCTATATTTTTTAGCAAAATAAGAATTTTTAATCGATTAAAAGTTGGTCATTATTAACATTTTCAAAAGATTTACGTTGATTATCATGATAGTTAAGTTTGCTCTGTAAAATGCAAAGAATTCTTAACGGATTTTCCGTTATGTGAATGAAAAAAATCAAAACTCGTTTACACTATACGTTGAGATCATCGTAGCATATCCTGTGCAGCGATTCGTGACATCAAGGATAAAATACCTAACATCGAGCTTTTCCAATGGTCGGAACGGCCGGATACACCGATTTTGGAAGAGGCAATCGATCTTAACACAGAAATCAGCAGCATTGATTCTGGACCCCTCATTGTCCAACTTGACCATAGCGGCCCCCGGTCTAAATTCCTTTACATTTATACATCTGGCACAACAGGAATGCCAAAGGCCGCCGTTATCAATAATTTGAGGTGAGCTTCTATGATCTTATTAATTATATGTAAAATTATTAACGCGATATGATAGTGTATAAAAATTGCCAAAAATACTTTTTCTTTATCTTTGTGTAAATTAAATAAAAAAAAATTTTTTTTATTAAAAAAGTGTATTTTTAATTTACCTTCTGTCTTTATTAAATAAAGATATGGAATGTATAGCTAATAGACTGAAAAAAACGATAAAAAAGTAAAGATAAAATATCTCAACATTTTAATTTTGATCTTTCCATTTTTATATCCGTATCTACATATTTGTAATTAGCTATTATTTAACGACTATATTAATTTTTGTGTAAAGAAATGAAAAAAGTTAATTTTAACTTGAGTTATTTTTTTCATTTTTAGATACATGTTTATAACATGTGGCATGAACATAATGGTTAATATACGCTCGGATGATCGAATTTACGACCCTCTGCCTCTTTATCACACCGCAGGTGGCATACTTGGAGCAGGTCAGGCACTCCTGCTTGGAGTCACCGTCGTGCTTCGTAGACGATTCAGTGTATCCAAGTTTTGGTCAGATTGCGTCCATTACGAATGCACTGTAAGATTGCTCCATTTTTTTTATAATTTTTTTATTCTATAGGATTTATTTCTATAGGATATTTCTTTAGGATTTTTAAGAAATCACAATTCGGTATGAAAGACACGCATTGAAAAGTACTTTATATAATATTATTTTCGAGCCAAACACAGAAAAAATGCCAGACGTTTAAAAATAGAATTCTTCAAGTTTTAAACGTCTCTGCGTTTTCAACCAATTTAAATTTTATATATTTTTTACATTGTTAATAATAAAATTAATAATGCGATCATTGCTTCTTCAAAGCAATTGAATCAAATTTCTTCAAAGCACATATAAATTTGTAATACCTATTTTGTGTTCATTAGCCAATATATGTATATCAAATAATGATCGTATTATGCGGAAACTTTCAGTTTTATTTAAATTGCCGCATCAGTGAATTTTCATATCTTTAAGTTTTTAGCTCTTTGATGATGATAAAATTAACAAACTTGTATTTTTATTTTAGGTAGCACAATATATCGGAGAGATCTGCCGTTTTCTTCTCACGGTTCCGCCAAGTCAGTACGATACGACGCATAAAGTGCGCCTAATGTACGGGAATGGTCTGAGACCACAAATTTGGAAATCTTTCGTGAAGAGATTCGGCGTGAAACAAATAGGCGAAATTTACGGGGCCACCGAAGGCAACTCAAATCTCGGTAATTCTATTTGTATTTTTGATCTAAAAATATTTAGAAACCGTATTAACGTAAATGTGATAAAAGTTGAGTGAAATCTTATCTGAAAAATAAAAAATTCCCTCAAATAAATAATAACTATTTAAACAATGATAATCGTTAGCAGTACATATTTAGTATTTCATAATTATCAAGTTTGTAATTATTTCACAACAAATTTATATGTTTTACAGTCAACCTTGATAATAAAATCGGTGCTGTGGGCTTTATACCGAGATACGCTTCGTGGCTGTATCCGGTTGCATTGCTAAAAATTGATGAAGAAACAGCAAAGCCCTTGAGAGGGCCAGATGGACTTTGCATACCTTGTAAACCTGGTATGTGTATTGAAAATTTATTCCAAAATGGAAACAAAATTTTAATATTTTAAAAGAAAAATTTCTTGAATATTATTAGAATGGATCTAATATTGCCTGCCTTCATAATATTTCTAGCTTCGGATAACCACAAAATTTTATCTTTATTTTTAACTTTATCTTTGTTATAACTTTCTTGAAACTTTTCTAATTTAATTAAAATGCCATAATAAGCGGTTTTCATAATTAAGTAGACGAGATAAAGCATGCTTACGTTTACATTATTTTTACGTTTATATTATTTGCTTAGGTGAGTCTGGTATTTTTGTGGGTAAAATTAATCCAACTAAAGCGTGGAACGACTTTAGCGGCTACGCGGATGAAAAAGAATCAGACAAGAAGATTATATACGATGTCTTTGCGAAAGGCGATCGTGTCTTCAATTCTGGTTAGTGATAATATAAAATGTAGCTCTGATAAAATATCTATTTTTCGAGATATACAACAATTTATTTTCATGATTTATCGAGAATTATTCGCATTATAATTTAAATAAATTTTTTGTACAGGTGATATTTTAATTATGGACAAATTTGGATACTTTTATTTCAAAGATAGAACCGGTGATACGTTTAGGTACGTAAAAAAGAAGTATCTTTAACACAATAATTGATTAATCATTCAATGATTATAAATATTGTTAGAATAAGTTAATGAACAAATAGAAATGTATTTGAATTATATCACTTTTGAAATGATTATATTAGGTGGCGAGGTGAAAATGTTTCTACTTCGGAAGTGGAAGCTGTCATCAATAATATAATGAACTTTAAAAATGCAACTGTATATGGTGTCGAGGTAAATGACAATTAAATCGGATCGTAGATTAGTTATTCGATTTAATCAGAAAAAAAATATAAAAATTTAGATGACAAAATACGTAAATTTACGTCCATTTATGATGATAAAAATGATAAAAGTATTTTATTACGCATTTATCCGTATTTAGATACCCGGGATCGAAGGTAGAGCGGGAATGGTGGCTATATACGACCCAAATAATTCATTAGATTTCAAACGATTGGAAGAAAAGTTGAAGCAAGCTTTGCCAACATACGCCAGACCTCTTTTTATTCGTATCTTGTCAGAACTGCCGATGACCGGTAATAATTAAAATTCTTTATCGACATCTTAATAGACTAAAGTCAAAATAGTAAATATAGTTTTAATTTATAATAATTTGTTTTACTTGGACAGGAACGTTCAAAGTGAAAAAGAAGGATCTCCAGCAGGAAGCTTTTGACATTAAAAAGGCAAGTTGCAATTGTATCTGTTTTGTTTCTTGAAAGAAAATAATAATACTGACAATAGTAATTTTTGCAGGTTAAAGATCCGATCTATTTTCTCGACAAGAATATCTATATAAAAATGACTGATAAACATTACAACGATATTATCGAAGGAAAATTTCGATTATAAATCTTTACTGCAAAGAAGGTTTTTTAATGCAAAATAGAACTTATGTTAAATTTTCAGCTTTGGAACTTTAGTTTTTTAGTTAAATTTTAGTTAGATCATATTCCGTGGTCATTATTTTAAAAATCAAAATTAACTATTATACGTCTTCCTCTGCAAATTCCGTATACAGAAAATTACATTTGTGTATTGTTTCGAAGAAAACGTTTAATATTTTTCTTCCATACGATAGTTACAACTAATACTTTATAGCTTATAAAGTATTTGTGTCGCGAATTATGAGGATGAAAATGTTTCCAGTGTATATTGTGAAAATAGCAAAATGTATTACAAATGTACACAAATATTGTACTAAATTGTTAAAAGCATAAGAGTATTTTCGAAAGTTCGATATGTTTTGTAAAGTTACGTTTTTGAATTATATACATGTTATATTTTTTATAATATAGAAACGAGTTTTAATCGCGCTTTATCTTTTCGCATTTGTAAATTCTTAATAAAAATTAATTACATAAATCTCTTACAACAAATTGTAAAAAAAAACAGTGATGTTTGTAAATAATTATATTCTAATACAAAAATTTTAGAGAATATTATTTATACAAAAAAGGTAATAATTATAAAAAAGAATAGCACAAGAATAATATATTGTCGATTTAGATCTCATTATTTTAATTGTCCATTTTGCTAAATTCTCAAGCTTTAATTACTTATTTGTTAATTTACATACATTGCTATCAATAATTGAGAATAAGCTTTATGTTAAAATATTAAAAATCTGTACAAACACATAGTCAATATTTTATTTTTCTTAATTTTGTAGATTATAATTTGCAAACATATAATATTTTGTATATTGTAATGTTCATATACATTATATATTATTATAAATTGCAAAATTTGTATATATTTCTTAATGAATCAGTTTATTATTCGATTATTCAGTACTATAGAATCTTTTATGCGCAATTTCCATCTGTTTAATAATTGTCATCATATGAATGCTTTGTTTTCTATTGCAATCATGTATGCTTTGTTTCTTGTTCTTGTTTAACATAAAAGTTATCATTAGTATATTATTCTTATACTATTAATTAACATTCCAGCTTCTGCAAAGATATGTGTATACTTATATTAAAAGGTATGAAAAGAACTATTTTTGAAAAAATGTACTGTTATATAAATAAAATATTTTAGTACAAAAACTGTAATTATCAACAGTCCAACATTGTTTCCTTTCGATAAACAATTTTTAAGTAAACGATAGAATACGAGAAAAGTATTATAATACCTTATTCTTTTATTTTGAATTTAAAATCGATCGATTAATTTGTAGTTCTCAATATTTAAGAGATCCAAATTTATATAATGTGATCAATAATTGGTAACTTATTTTTAATAATTTTGTTAATTAGAAAAAGTTAAAATAAATATAATAACAAAATTTGTTGTACTTTTTACTTTACTTTCCGATCACTAGGTATATTGACTGGAGTGACTGTCATACTGCTTCTGCGCAGTGCCATATCTATGTTCAGTGATTATCATTGTACATGCAATTCATGTGTGATTTTTCATTGAAGATTATTCAACGCATAATATGTGTATATACATATATTCACGGTTTGCATTAAGTTATTTTAATTTTTTTAAATTCCATATAAAAAAATTTTTATTATAACATTATTCTGAAAAGTTTTGCTATTATTTATGAAACAATTTTCTTCAAAAAAAAAGTTTTTTTAGTATAATAATTTATAAATTATTTCTAAATGGATTTTTAAATAGAAAAAGGTTATTGTTGTGCAATTTGCTTTTTGATTGAGAACCTTCATACGACCTTCACTGCCGTATGTATATACCCTCATACTCCGAGGTATTGTGGCAGTTGCTCCGACATCGTAGATTGGTGATGTTAGAGCTGCTCTTATATAAAACGTGTATATTGCGATCAAATCAGTATAATAAAACCAAGAAGACATAGTGACATATTGTATTCACCGGTACAGTATTTCTATGTGTTGTTATATCACGATGTAACAGAGTTGTACATTGCAATCATTGACAGTAAAATTTTTTACTATGACAATTAATAATGTAGAAATATAATTGGTATAAAAATACACCAATATGTGAATAAGTGATATTTGAATACACGTGCGTAAACACTAATTGTGAGCTTCAAAATATTGAATACTTTTATTGTAAAGATATATTAGGGTGGTAATTAAAATTCATATTTTGACTTCTATTTGCTTATTTCTGTTTGCATTTTTTCTTTAATAAATCTCGATAATTTTGATGAGTCATTAATTTAAGTAGTTACGATAAGGTGTGTTTTAATGAAATAATTGTCCATTTGAAAGTTAAAAAAAGAATTCTTTACACACCATTTATAGTGAGACTTGTAGGATACATAAATACATGTACAATAGATAAAGTAATTATGTATGTGGACGGAAAAATACTTATTATCGAGATAAAGTAATCTACTCAGAAATTCAAATAACATTTCTTCAGATAACATTTTCCACGTGGAATATATAACCACATATATCGTATATATGCACGTTAAAGGAGTGATATAAATTATTTTCTTATCGAGTGCGTTTTACTCGACTGATGTATTTACGAACGTGTTTAATGTTTTCGTACAAATAAATGTAACTTTAAATCAAATATAAATTACGTATTTTTTAATTTAACATTTGGTGATGTTAGAATTGCTGTTAAATAAAACGTGTGTATTGTGATCAAATCAGTATAATAAAACCAAGAAGACATAATGACATATTGTATTCACCGGTACAGTATTTCTGTGTCGTTATATCACGATGTAACAGAGTTGTACATTGCAATCATTGACAGTAAAATTTTGTTCTATGACAATTAATAATAAAACTAAGATATTAAAATTATATTTTTTTGTTAGTCTCATCCACATCAGTAAACAATGGGAAACGACAAATTCCAATTTGCTATAGATCGCGGAGGCACATTTACCGATATATATGCCAGATGTCCTGGAGATAAGATCCGAGTTATGAAATTACTGTCGGAAGATCCCAGTAATTATAACGATGCACCTACAGAAGGTATTCGCAGAATATTGGAAGAGGTATGTCATAAACAATGATACTAAAAATAAAATGTATAAAAAGGCTCAAATGATTAAAACAATCACATAAAACTATCAGGAGCGCAAAGAGCCAAAATGATTCTAGTGCGAAAGATCATACAATCATATTAAAATATATATAAATGTGACAATAATAAGTATACAATAATAAACAGTGTACAATAATAAATATGTACGATATTTATTCATTATTTATTATTGTACACTGAAAAAGGCCTGATGTCAGGTCGAAATGTTTGTATATTGTACATATTTTAATATTATATAATCTTTCATACTAAAATCTGACATTCTGGCTCTTTGCGCTCCTGATAATTTTATGCAATTATACTAATTAAAAATTCCAAAGATGATTTTTGTCAAATTTCATCGAAAAAAATGTTGCTATTTTTGTTTATTTCTGTTCATAAAATTATAATTACTAATTTGTAAGATAAAAAATAATGTTAAAATAAAAATGTATTTAAAAATTATTAGACTTTCAAATAAAAATTCGCATAATGTTAAATTGTATTTCACACAAAATAGTGTAACTTTATACATATTATATAGAATTATTTAAAATTTAATTCCAAAATATTTTATATATATTTTATGATTATTTATTAATTATTTATTAATTTTAGGAAACTCATGTTAAAATGGATGGCGGCACAGTGGACACTTCTCAAATAGAATGGGTCAGAATGGGAACAACTGTCGCGACTAATGCGCTATTAGAAAGAAAAGGCGCGAATATGGCGCTATTAATAAATGAAGGTTTCGAAGATCTTCTTTATATCGGTAATCAGTCTCGGCCAAATATTTTTGATCTGGTTTGTACAACTGAATTTCACAGATCGTTGCATATAGCATATTGCGCGTAGCAAATTATCATAAAATTTACCTCGACTATCATTTGATTTTCTTGATTACATTTTCATTAATTATTTGCAGGAGATAATGATGCCTGAAGTTTTGTACAAAAATGTAGTAGGAGTAAAATGTAGAGTGATACCTGCTTTACCGGGAAAGTGTCGTATGGAAAATCAATCGTGGCGAAAGGTAAAAGGTTCTACCGGCGAGGATCTGTTCGTTACTCAAGAACTCGATGAAATACAATTGAAGGAAGATTTGAAAGAACTTCGTAGTCAGGAAATAGAGAGTCTCGCTGTCGTTCTGATGCATAGTTATACGTTAGTAAACGTATTTGTCTGAATAGAAATTATATAGGAAGAATAAAATTACATAGAAATTACATGCTTGTTTTTTATGATATAGTTATGCGGCTCACGAAATCAGAATTGGCGAATTAGCAAGGGAAGCCGGTTTTTCGCAAGTATCCCTTTCACATGAAGTGATGCCAATGGCTAGAATAGTTCCTAGAGGTTTTACAACGTGTGCAGATGCTTATTTAACACCACACATTAAGAATTATCTACAGGTAATGTTACTTTTATATTTATGCATATATAAAACCTTTAAAATAATAATTATATATTTTCATTTTAAAATCGTAATAAATAAATTTGTAGACATTCTCTTCAGGATTCAAAGACAATTTGAAGGGTGTGAACGTGTTATTCATGAGAAGTGACGGCGGATTAACACCTATGAATTCGTAACTATCTATCTAAACTTTTTGTCTATTGCTGTTTAAAAATTATTTTTTAAATATTTTTTTTACTATCTTAATATTAAACAAGAATACGTTTTGTTAACAAACGTTAAAGCTTTAATGGATCCCGTGCTATACTTTCTGGGCCAGCTGGTGGTGTCGTCGGATACGCAATGACGACATACGGGAAGGAGACTGATCTACCCGTGATAGGATTCGATATGGGCGGCACATCGACCGATGTAAGTCGATACGGAGGAAGTTATGAACACGTTTACGAGAGCACCACTGCGGGCATCGCTATACAAGCCCCTCAGGTACAATTCTTTTTCGATTATTTCTCAAGATATTTAAAATACATATTAAAATATTAACTTTTTACAAATTTAAAAACGCAATTTAGAAGAGTATTCTGAAATCTGCCTAAATAAAAATTGGGTTAAAGTTGGATGTCAATACAGTTGCGGCGGGAGGTGGATCAATGCTTTTCTTCAAGTCGGGTCTCTTCGCGGTCGGGCCTGAGAGCGCGGGAGCCCATCCTGGACCAGCGTGTTACAAAAAAGGTGGTCCACTAACTGTAACGGATGCGAATCTAGCATTAGGTCGTCTGCTGCCCGAATACTTTCCTCAAATTTTCGGCCCTGAGGAAAACGAACCGCTCGACGTAGATCGGACATTAAGTTTGTTCACAACGCTTACCGGCGAGGTAATTTTCTGACACTCAAAAATATTTTTTTTTTTTCGTTAAATGTGCGTACATACTAAATTTTATACATTATAGAAAAATAAACACTGCTAAACTCGAAAAAATATTTGTTGTATAACTTTGAACTTACAAAACGTCTGCATATATATCACAGATAAATGAATTTCTGGGCGCGAAGGAACTAATGTCGATAGATGAAGTGGCAATGGGATTCATCAAGGTTGCGAATGAGACTATGTGCCGACCGATTCGCGCTTTGACTCAGGTACAGTTAGATCAATTTATTTTTTTGCAAACTATCAGCTGTTACAGCTTTTGATATTAATAGAATTATAATACACTGTCATGGTCTTTAAATTATTTTAATTTTTTTAAAACAGGCAAAGGGTTACGACACTTCCCGTCACGTTTTGGCGTGTTTTGGCGGCGCAGGTGGACAACATGCTTGCGCAATTGCACGATCGTTGGGCATAAGCACGGTGTTTGTTCATAAGTATGCCGGTATTTTATCAGCTTACGGTATGGCATTAGCAGACGTTGTCGAAGAGATGCAAGAGCCTAGCGCCGAAATTTACAATCCAGGTAATTTATATCGTATTTTAAAAATAATTTTGCATGTTTCTTAACATTTTCGAATTATTTGCATATATCTGTAGAAAGTTTCGCCCGATTGGACGATCGTCTGGATGCGATGGAAGCCAAAGTTAAAAGCAAACTTCGCGCGCAAGGATTCGTTGATTCTCAAATAAAAACGGAATCATTTCTACACTTACGTTATGAGGGTACTGATTGTGCTTTGATGTGCACCTCTATAGACCGTAATTCAGAAAACGGAACCACCAGACATGGAGATTTTCTTGCCCCCTTTTTAGAAAGGTGAGTTTTTAATGTAAAAACATTTTCTTCAAATATTTACATATGTTTTTTTGAATTAAGGTATAAGACAGAGTTTGGTTTCACCATACCAGAACGTAAAATCATGGTGAATGACGTGAGAGTACGCGGAATTGGTAAAACTAAAATTCCCGAGGATCCTATATTATCTCGTTCACAAGCTTCACCAAAAGCTGATAAGGTAAAACAATAGAATATGTAACAAATTATTCAAATAATTGTTGAATAAAGTTTTTCACTGTCTAAAATTGATTTAATTTTTCAAATAATTTTGAATCTTATCTTATCTATTAAAAGTTGTAAAATATTAAAAATGTAAACTTTCTAGACCACCATGGTATATTTCGAAGGCGGTTACAAGGAGACTGGCGTCTATCAATTAGATTCATTGTCGCCTACAGATATTTTACATGGTCCCGTTATTATCATGGATAGTTTGAGCACACTTTTAGTAGAGCCGGATTGCACCGCGGAAATCACTTGTCGCGGTGATGTAAAAATTACAATTGGGCAAGGTCTACGAACGAAAGTTACGACTGATCTCGACACTATTCAGCTTAGTATCTTTTCGCATCGTTTTATGAGCATCGCTGAACAAATGGGTCGGTATGTATGTCTGAAAATAATATTAATTTGAAGATGATGATTCTTTCACTGTTTTTTCAAGATTTGCGAATATTTGTATTTTTAATTTTTGACAGAGTACTTCAAAGAACTTCTATCTCCACTAATATAAAAGAGCGATTGGATTTTTCGTGTGCAATTTTTGGACCTGACGGTGGTCTCGTTTCCAATGCACCTCATATCCCGGTACATCTGGGTGCCATGCAAGAAACTGTGCAGTATCAAATGAAAGCATTTAACGGCAAATTTTCACTGGGAGATGTTATTCTCTCAAACCATCCATCAGCAGGCGGTTCTCATCTTCCAGATTTGACAGTTATCACGCCAGTATTTTACAAGTGTGTGTTCTTTTCAAATCATATTAATTATTAAAAAAAATTTTTTTAAAAACGTTACAAATATTATATTATTAAAAATAATATTTTAATAAAAAGCAGTACTTTTAGTAGTATTTAGATATTTAGCAATTTTTTTTGCTAAATTTTTTTTAAAGCTCTCTTTTAATTCGTTCTAAATAAAACACAAATTTTATATGTGTAGAGATGTGCCAACACCAGTATTTTTCGTGGCCAGCAGAGGACATCACGCTGACATTGGTGGTATCACGCCAGGCTCAATGCCACCGCATTCAACAAGCCTGAATCAAGTATGAGGAATACCGACCTCTGTGAAGTTGGCCCCCCATTTTTCAAAATTGGAAAAAATGATTAGAATTCTGGATGCCCCCCGAGAAGTTCTAGAGTTCTCAGACCATTTTAGAAAGAGTTCTGCCATTTAAAGTAAAGAAAACACCATTTGAAAAATCGGGGGGCTAACTTTACGACGCCCCCCATTATGTAAAAAATCCAAATTTTTTTATAGTTCTGAGTAGATTTCAAATAGTTTTATAGTTCTAGATAAGTTTCAAAAATAATTCTGCTTGAAATACTACGTAAATTAAATTTGAAATTCTCGACTTAGAAAACGAAAAATAGCGAGAACTCGTTCAATTTTGATTTTGGCGTTTCGAGCCTTAAGGATAATCGTTAGAACTCGTGGGGGGCTATACAGAACTCTCAACAGAACTGCCGATTACCGAGAAAAAATTTTTTTTCCTGTAGGACTTAAAAATTTCTTGAATCCGAAACTTCAACCATCGAGAACTTTTTTATTTCGCCTCTGAGCGCTTCGAGTGTTAATAATTATCGCTAGAACTCTTCGGGGGGCGTCCAGAGCTTTCAACAGAACTGCCGATTACCGAGAAACTAATTTTTTTTCCCGTAGGACTTAGAAATTTTTCGAATCCGAAACTTCAACCATCAAGAACTTTTTTATTTCGCCTCTGAGCGCTTCGAGTGTTAATAATTATCGCTAGAACTCTTCGGGGGGCGTCCAAAACTCTCAACAAAACTGTCGGTTACCGAGAAACAATTTTTTTTCCCGTAGGACTTAGAAATTTTTCGAATCCGAAACTTCAATCATCGAGAACTTTTTTATTTCGCCTCTGAGTGCTTCGAGTGTTAATAATTATCGCTAGAACTCTTCGGGGGGCGTCCAAAACTCTCAACAGAACTGCCGGTTACCGAGAAACAATTTTTTTTCCCGTAGGACTTAGAAATTTTTCGAATCCGAA